ATATGGCCAGCCTGGTGCTGGGGCAGTCCAGGCAGGGCTCTCCTGCTGGCTCAGAAGTCTAATTCAGATCACTATTTAGCAACTCTACCACCTCCCCCACTGCAGTTGCCGCACCTATACCCCAACCCCTGCACCCGTACCATGCCCAGCAGAGCCTTTGTCTCTGGCCTTCAGAGGGTTTGAAAGAGAGACTGCAAGAGAAGACAGAATGCATGAATAAGAATGCAACAGAGTGGCTGGAAACGAGGCGTTCCATAATAGGAGGAAATTGTTCATGTTCAGAGCAATTTTGTCAAAACTGAACAATTCTCTTTAAACAGCAAGCTTGAACTTGTGCAAATAGCACTCTCATGCAATCAGCTCTAAGTGACTTCAGAGAATTGTGCCTCTCATAAAATCTCAATTTGTCATATCTATGGGCTAATAAATCTCCATCCCCATTGGAAGACCATCAGGTGTAGAGAACTGTAATGGGTCCCCATAAAAGTCCCAGTAAAATCTCTGCTGAGTCACCCTGCTCTTCTGAAGCACTCAAAACTCATTTGTTCACCTGTGGAAAAATAAGTAAGTTAAAAGTCGCCCCCAGAGAGGAGCTCTTTTAGCTGTTAAGTCAAAGCAGTTCTCTCAGGGCATATGGAACATTTTACTCTTGAAAGGAATCTGAGGTGGAACCATCATCCTAAGCCCATCTCCTGTAGAGAAAAAGGGTTTATCCCGGTGTCTCAGGCTCTGTGTGGTTCCTTCACTTTGTGCCTGAAGAGCCCGTTAGCCCCAGACTGAAGCAAAATCAGCCCAGCGTTAAGAGCCCTGTGGGCTGAACTCCACAGGAAAGAGCAGACTCGGCAAGAGGAGGGTGAGGCCAGCCAAGTCCTGCAGACCTGCAAAGACCCAGGGTGTCGTGTCTGAATCAATTCAGACGCACGTATGCTTTCCTCCCTCCCTCCTCTCCTCAAATTTACTTTTTAAAAAGTTAAAAAAAAAAAAAAAAAATTAGATATTTCACAGAGTAAACAGGCAATGTGTCCACTGGGATGGGAGTAGTTAGTTTCTTAGTGCTGCTGTAACAGAAATACCACACAAGTGGGTGGTTTTAAAGAACAGAAATTTACTTTCTTACAGTTTGGGAGGCTGTTGTTGTTAGGTGCCATCAAGTCAATTTCAACTCATAGTGACCCCATGTGACAGAGTAGAACTGCCCCATAGGGTTTTCTAGGCTGTAATCTTTATAGGGGCAAACTGCCAGGTCTTTCTTCCCCTAGAAGCAGCTGGGTGGGTTAGCACTGCCAACCTTTCAGTTAGCAGCCAAGTGCTTAACCATTGCACCACCAGGGCTCCTAGACGTCCAAATTCAGGGTATTGGTTCTAGAGAAAGGTTGTGTCTACTTTAGGGGTAAATCCTTGTCTCACCCTAACCCCAATCTTACTTACCTGAGCAATTTCCATGTGGCATCTAGCTTCATCTCATTTGTGCTTGATTCTTCTTTGGGTCTATTCTGCTCTTTTTATATCTCAAAAATCATTAGGTTTAAGACATACCCTACACAGATATGGCCTCATTAACATAACAAAGAAAACCCTATTCCCAAATGGGATTACATCCATAGGTATAGGGGTTAGGATTCCAATACATATTTTCAATCCATTACAAGAGGCAACTCTTAAAGGGGATACGGCAGATCAATACGAAAACACAGCCAAATAGGTTACGTGAAATGAGTCATTGTCAGTGCGAAGAATTTGATACAATTTTTGTGGACAAATTATATGCATATTTACATATATTTTTATGCACAAGGAATCAATTACAAATGGCTACACCCAGTATTGCTTATATTATTATCTCCAGGAAGTAGGGCTAGGAGTGGGAGGGGGGAGAATCAATGGACTTTTTTTTTTTTTTTTAAACTTTATACACTTCTATATTGGCTCATTTTTACATCAGATTTGTAATATATATAAGCAAAACGAAATATAGGCACTGCAGAGCTGTGGGTGAAAAGACAGACTGTCTTTTCAGTAAGTGGCACTGGAATTACTGCATACCCATATGGAAATAATTAACTTGACCCTACCTCACCCCGTGTACAAAAATAAACTCCAGGTGGACTGTAGATCTAAACATTAAAGGCAAAACAATAAAGCTTCTAGAAGATATTATATTCATAACCTCAAGGTCATGGTTACAGGTTTTTTAAAAAAATATTTTGTTAAGCTGCAAATGTGTTTTATGAACTCTTCGGTATATTTCACTCCCCAACAAAAAGGTTAAAAAAATGAGGAAGGAAAAAACAAACAAAACAAAACAAGGAAGAGTCCCTGGTACTCAATCAAATTTGTTGTATGGGGGAAAAATCTGGACAGAGGGTGCTGCAAAATCAAACAACTGTTGGCTGTCCTAATACCCAAAGACTGTGACTCACAGGCTGCTCAAGGCTCTCTGCTATGATTAGAAATCCATTTCCTTTGCTGAGACCCCACAGGAAAACACACATCCACAAAACACAGGGCTGAGAGCTAGCCCCAATTAACCCCCTTGGAACTTTCAAGCCACTTTTGAAGCTGGTAATCCAGAACTTGGTGGGAAGTGAGTGGACAGGGTAAAACGTAAGGTTAGACTTTTTCACCCCTTTGCAGTTTAAATTTCACCTAGAAAGAGCTTCAACAAGCATCAAGGTTCCAATAGACAAGAATACAATACAGACAAGGCAAAAACCAAGAGCAGCCAGCACCTCCTACTTGATTTCTCCACTCTCCCACTGACCTAGAAAAGGCTCATCTGAAGCCTAGAAGGAAAAGCTATGATTAATTCAAGCACGACAGGATGAAGGCTAACAGGATTCCTTGCTGCCTCCCGAAGGAGGCTTTCTGACGCCAGCCCTAGAGGCAGAAATGAACGAAGGTCACTTGGCAAACAAGATACCACCAAATGACCCCGGTAAGGGGAGGCAGAGATAAGCTCCAGGAGACCTGGGAAGACTTTTAGCAAAATCCTTTAACAGCACAACTGGTGGCAGGGACAGGAGTAGGATGAGATGGGCTCGGATTTTTTTTCCAGAAAATATGGTACTGGGAGCTGGACTGAGTTGCAAAGTGAAGGAGAAAATGGAGTTAGTGTGGAAATCCTTCCTCAAGCCTAAAGGTATATTCATTGTCTCTATGAATAAATCCAAGCATCTTTTACTGGATCACACAGAATGGCTGGATGGCTCTCACCAAATTTCAGAGGTACACTGGGAAGGTCTAACTTAAAACCCTATGGATCACAATGGTCCAATCAGCAACAGATCATGTGGATGGTGCAGGACCAGGCAGCATTCTGTTCCATTTGTGCATGGGTTTGCCACGAGTCAGGAGCTGACTTGAGGGCAGCTATCAACTTAAAATATGTGGGTTATGTGGTATAAATAAAACTTCTTTTGGGGACCTCAAGGGCGTATCAAAGAGAAAGTGGATTTTTTCTCCAAAGCAGCTGAAACTCCGGTTCAACCAGAGGCCTCAGATGGAGGTTTGGCAGAACATACCTCCTAAGACCACGAGGTAAGCACGGTGCTTACCTTGCTTACCAGATCATCTGTAGTGAACAATTTCACCTTTTTTCACCACATCAAAGATTCTGCTTCTAGGTATGGCTGGCATCTGTCGGTCTCCCAACCCCACAGCACCTTCCTACAGAATCAAAGCCTCTTTTCAAATTTACAATCCCTGACAGGGGCAGATGACCCAGTAAGCAAGGTAAGCACCGGCTTCCTTGTGCTTACTCACTAATCTGTAGTGAACAATTTCACGTGGGTTTTACCACATCATGTGAAACAGATGATCTATAAGCAAAGTTAGCACCGTGCTTACTTTGCCTGTTGGATAATCCACCCTGAAGACCACAGAGAAACAATGGTTTCAGGTATAAGTGTGAAATGCCAAGGTACAAGGGCAAGCCCTCCAAATGACACTTTGCTCTATCATAAGGGCCACTCTGTGTGGCAGGCACCTAGGTAACTACAGCAGGGATTAATTTAACAATGGTCAGTGATGATCCCAGTGGGCAGCCTAGTGTTTGTGTGTCTCTAAAAATCACTGACACGTTTCACTTTTTCTTTCAAAGCACTTCCACCTGTATAATCATTGTTTCTAACCACATCCTTGGACTACAAGGGAACTGTTAACAGAAGTAGGGAATGAGATCCTAAGAGATGAAAGAACATGACCAAAGCCCAGCAGAGCCCATGGAAAAGCTGCACCCAAACTTCTCTTGCCACCCTGATGGGGGCTGAATGAGCAGCAGGCAAGTCGAAGTCTCTGGAGATGTGCTGGAGTTCCATGGGCTCCCAGTGGGGGCTCATTAAGGTTTTACTGGAAAACAGCCAGGCTCATTGTTTACACATTATCTATGGTTGTTTTCATTCTAAAATGGCAGAGCTGAGTAGTTGCAACAGAAACTGTCCATAAAGCCAAAAATATTTACTATTTGACTATTTACAGAAAAACTTTGGCAACCCCTGCTCTAACGTCTGCCTTACACTTTATTTTTCTCCATAGGACTGATAACTAACTGCCTCTCTCACTGTACAGTAAGCTCCGCAAAGGCAGGCACTTCTCTATTTTGTTCAGTGAATTACCACCAGCACCTAGAACAGTGCCTGGCACACAGTAGGTGCTCTATAAATATTTGTTGAATAAATACATTTTAAAAATCCAGATTTCCGGGGTTGTGTAGCAAGCATTTTGTTATTTAAAAACCAAATCAAACCTGCTGCTGTCGAGTTGATTCTGACTCATAGCAACCCTACAGGACACAGTAATTTCGTTATTTAAAGAACTCGAACTAATACTCCAAGTATTAGTCAGAAAAGCTGAAGTTAACTAAGACCCAAGCAAGCCCACAGAGACACGGGAAATGAACTACTGGCACGTGCCTGTCAACCTGCTGAGCTTGGAGACAGAACAAGGCACTGTCAACAACAAGCAGAACCCAGGCTTGAAAAACAAACTGCCTTATTTTAATGAATTCCATGATTTTCAAAAGTCTTTTTTTGACCTTCTTACATGGGAGAGGTAAAGCTATCCCAGTTATCAAAAAATTCAAATCTCCTTTTCTTAGATGGACTGGCTGTGAATGTGCTCTCGTCCAGGGTGTCTCCCATGTCCTGAGAACTGCTTCCAGATGTTCCTGAAGCACTTCCTGGGTCAAAGGACTCTAGTGCCTCCAGGAGCTCCATATCGCTTCTGTCTTCCTCAAAGGACTTCTGGAATAGGTCATAGATAGTCTGCTGCTTTGGGTCCTTCATCAGAGAAAGAAAAGGAAAGATAAAAGAAAGGACTCAGGTTTAAACACCTTCCCTGACTCTCCTCCACTGTGGCTGATGAGAGAATACAGGGCAAGGGAGGGCACGTTGTACAAGCTCAGGGTTCTGCATGGTGGCAAGTGCAGACCACCTCAGCTAGCCATTTATCACCAAGCAGCTTTACTACTTTAGTCTGACATTTTTTGTTGTTGAAACTGTAAGCAGCAAAACATACACCAATTTAACAATTTCTGCATGTACAATTCAGTGACACTGACTACATTCTTCAAAGTTGTGCAACTATTCTCACCCTCCTTCTCCGAATTATTCCTCCATCATTAACATGAGCTCAATGCCCCCTAAGTTTCTTCTTTAACCTTTTGAGTTGCTGTTGTCAATTTGATCCCATATAGATAGCTCTTTAAAAAAGCACAATGCTCAAGGCTAGAGTCTGACATCTTATCCTCTCTGATGCTCACTGGGTTAGGGAAAAAAGAAACGGTGGTGAGAGCAATGAAGAACCTGCTCTTACGCTATAATTTTTGTTGGAAATGTTCCCTCTCTCCTAGCTTTTCAAATTAATATTTCACTATTGAAATAGCTCTCACGATCTCACTTCCTCCAAAGCCTTTCTCCACCCATGGGTTAAACTGTAATTTGACTCCCAAATTTGTGTGTTGGGACACGGTTTACACTTAATTTACAGAGTGGCTAATAAAACATACACATACTTAACATACTGAGAAGTAGATACCTGTACTTGTTCCTGATTATGTTAAAATGCCCACCACCTGCATTTGCACACTGCTGACAATGGTGTAGTGTTGAAATCATGCCCATAGGAGGAAGATGTGGCAGTCTACTTCCGGAAAGATTTATAGTCTTGGAAACCCTATGGGGCAGTTCTAGTCTATCCTATGAGGTCATTCTGAGTTGGAAGTGACTTGATGGCGGTGGGTTTGGTTTTTGGCTTGGTGTCTACCTCATCAAGTCTAAAGCTGCTTCCCTGGCTTTTCAGGTCCTCTTGCTGTTAAGGGCTTTTGAGTTGATTCTGACTCATAGCAACATAGGACAGAGTAGAACTGCCTCACAGGGTTTTCTAGGCTGTAATCTTTGAGAGCAGATCGCCAGGTCTCTCTCCTGAAGAGTCATTAGGTGGGTTTGAACTGCCAACCTTTCAGTTAGCGCTTAACTGTTGCACCACCAGGGCTCCTTTTTCAGGTCCTAGGTGGCCACTATTTCCTCCCTAATCCTCAACATAATCTCTCCAATTGGTGAAGTGAAATTCCTTGAAAACTGATCACGGAGCACGTCAATGCAAGAACTCCAGATTATTCAATTAACCTAGGCCTTACATTCCTCAGCTTCTCAGGATCCCAGCCTTTTCAAGGAGAAGTGACGTTAAAGATCAAGGTCAGCCCCCACTCATCCACGAGTCCTCCTCTAGGGTATCCTCATCGGATTCCATCTGAACAACAGCAATGTCAAGGAAATGCTGCCCCACAAGGCAGCCTATTCCAACTAGAAATCACTGTTAATGTGAACTTGATTATGGTGATGGCAACAGGGTATGCTAACTCAGAGCACACATAATTAACTGAAAGCAAGCTGAAAGATCAGATTAGTATTTCATTTCCTCTCTCAGAAGGCAGGCTATCTTAATGAGACATAACCGCTTTCGCTTTTATTCCCTGTATAAAAACCAAACCAAATCCACTGCCGTCGAGTCCATTCTGACTCATAGCGACCCTGTAGGACAGAATAGAACTGCCCCATAAGGTTTCCAAGGCTGTATATCTTATTTATTTATTTTATTGTGCTTTGGGTGAAAGTTTACAGAGCAAATTCGTTTCTCATTAAACAATTAATGCACAAAAACTGTTTTGTGACATTGGTTGTCAACCCGGAGATGTGTCAACACTCTCCCCTTCTCGACCTCAGGTTCCCCATTCTCCTTCATCCAGTTTTCCTGTCCCTTCCTGCTGTCTCGTCTTTGCTTTTGGGCTGCTGTGCCCTTTCAGTCTCGTATACATGGTTCAACTACATGTGTTATTGCTAGTTTTATGGGCCTGTCTAATCTTTGGTTGAAGGCTGAACTTCAGGAGTGACTTCAGTACTGAGTTAAAAGGGTGTTGGGGGCCACGCTCTTGGAGTTTCTCCAGTCTCAGTCAGACCAGTAAGTCTGGTCTTTTTTTGTGAGTTGGAATTTTGTTCTACATTTTTCTCCAGCTCTGTCTGGGACCCTCTATTGTGATCCCTGTCAGAGCAATTGGTGCTGGTAGCCAGGCACCATACAGTTCTCCTGGGCTCAGTCTGGTGGAGGCTGAGGTAGTTGTGGTCCATTAGTCCTTTGGACTAATCGTCCTCTTGTGTCTTTGGTTTTCTTCATTCTCCTTTGCTCCAAACAGGGTGGGAGCAGTAGATGTATCTTAGATGGCTGTTCCCAAGCTTTTAAGACCCTGGATGCTACTCACCAAAGTAACAGGTAGAACATTTTCTTTATAAACTATGTTATGCCAATTGAGCTAGATGTCCCCCGAGACCTTGGTCCTCAGCCCTCAGCCCCATAACTCGGTCCCTCAGGGAGTCTGGATGTGTCTATGAAGCTTCTATAACTTTGCCCAAGGCCATATATCTTTAAGGAGGCAGACTGTCACATCTTTTTCTCAAAGAGCAGCTGGTGAGTTTGAACCGCTGACCTTTTGGTTAGCAGCAGAGCACTTTATTTATCTCCTATATAGGAGGCAACATCTTCCTCCTCTAAAAAGCTGATAAAATTTTCAGCCCTATCTTAGTAAAAAAATCAATTCATGTGGTTGTTAATAGAAATACATAATGATGAACCCCATTTATGTTACATTGCACTTGTACTTGAGGCAGAAATTCTTAACTAATTCAGTAAATGAGGGAAAGGCCAGTATGAATAAGTTGAGTGTAAATTAGAGAATCCTTTAAAAATAAAGCTCTTTCTTCTCAAAGGGCATATAACAGCCCAGGAGATGCAAACATATTTACCATTCAACTGGAATTACTGTTCTTTGAAAGCTTAAAAATAAGAATGTCTTAAAATTTGCTAACGTAAATAACAGGTCAACTCAATCCTCAAACTCTTAAGTCTTAGTGTTACCTATAAGGTTTTGTTGGTTTAATTCAACGTCAGATCCTTAGCAACTCCGTGGGGAAGAGAAGGCCCCTTGGTTTCCAGATGAGCTACTGAAGGCCATTGTTTTGTGGGAAGCTCAGAGCTTAGGCCAAGCTCTCTAGTTAAGACACTCACTCATAAGTCTTCCTCCAGGAGATACTGCCTACTGAGTTTTCACTGCCTTTGCCAACCACCTGAGCTAGAAAAAGCCTTTCAGCCTCTTGTTCTTCTCCATCACATTCCTTGAAATGGAGGAGAAAACGGCAGTGGTGGCAATTGGGCTCACATGCTGAGGCCCAGGCAGGCTTGGTGAGCCCAGGACTGTCCTCTTCAGAGAAAACAGGCTTCCTCGCAGCACCTCTGACAAGCCCACCATGTCCTGGAAGGATGCCTACCAGCCTCTCACTGCCCTTTATAATAAGAGGCTGATGTCCCAGAGGAACCCTGGTGGCGCAGTGGTTAAGAGCTCGGCTGCTAACTGTAACTCAGCAGTGTGAATCTACCAGCCACTCCTTGGAAACCCTATGGGGCAGTTCTTCTCTGTCTTATAAGGTCACTATGAGACGGAACTGACTGGACGGCAATGGGTTTGGTTTTGACATCCCAGAAAGACTGTTGGGCTGAGTCAGGAAACCTTCTCCCTGGGGCTGGCTGCACATGACCTATGACTTTGGGCAAGTCTTAATGCTCTGTCATGTCTCAGTTTCAATCTACTCCCCCTATTAAAAAACAAAACAAAAAAAGTTGCCATGGAGTCAACTCTGACTTATAGCGACCCCATATGTGTCCGCATGGAACAGCATTCCACAGGGTTATCAACGGCTGATTTTTCAGAAGTAGATCGCCAAGCCTGTCTTCTGAGGTGCCTCTGGGTAGGCTCAAATCTCCAACCTTTCAGCTAGTAGCCAAGCGCATTAATCATTCACACCACCCAGAGGCTCCTTATCTCAGTGTACCTCTCTATAAAATGGGGGAGATTCTGAAACAAAATGAAACGACACAGGGAAAAACACGTTATACAGAAGCAATACCCTACTTTAAATGCTCTGCATTCTGCGCTGGGGATGTAGCCCTCCATTCGGTGCTGCTCTGTACTTTTCACAATTCAACGGTTACCATGGGGAGTTTTCTGTCAGTTTCTAACGGCCTGATGGGAGAGGCAGCAGCATTCGGAAGCCCTGGTTTTATGAGACTCTGAGGGGATGTCAGAAACAGGATTGCTGATGCCATGGTTTCCACACACAGCAATATACGTGTGGATTGGAGGACTGAGAACCTCAGCAGGCCTGCCTGGTGCTCAGCTCCCAGACTGGGGGAGGCCCCGAGGAGTGAGTCACCCTTCCCACACAGAAACCAAGGGCTTGGCAGACCTCTCACCACCTCCCTCTGCACCATGGCAAGGGAGCTGGATGCTGGTGTTACCTTGTAGAAGTAATCAGCGGCTTCTGTCGTTTCTGAAAAATTGGTCTCAGAAAGCCCGGCTTCACCCAGAACTTTAAGCTTCTCTTGAATCATGGGCCTGTTGGGGAGACATGAGCTGTGATGAGTACAGTCTATGTAGAACCACTGGGCTGATTAAAACAAGGCCACCCTGCTCGTTTTTATGGGGCTGCTATGTAGTTACTGTCCTACATCTTGGCATCTTTCAAGGCCACCCTGAGATGTTGGCCCCCTCTCAATTGTCAAGCAACCCCCAGATTAGGGCTCAAAACTTCATCAGGTTCAAAATTCCTCTATGAAAGACGGGCAGGAAATAAATGCCACCTCATTACAAAAAAATGTGGGACCTGATGATGCTATGAGCTGCCAATGAACACTTCCACTAAACAAAGACAGGAAGTAGGGGTAACCCACACACCTTGCAAAGGTAAGATGCCTCAGTCCCAAGGCTGGAAACAGAGACAAGTAGTGGAAAGGAATGAGATAACCATGGGATTTAATATCATGAAGGGGAAAATGGGGTCTGGTGGGAGCATTTTGGAAATTTTTGCTTAGATGACAGACATGAACCCTCAGGGTTGAACATTTTATCCCAGCTCTGCTCGCGGCCCAGGCAAGCCATGTTCTCTCTGTGGTCCGACACAGCATCGTAAGATGTGACTTCTCAGACCAACACATCTCACCAAGTAGAAAAAGGAGGCTGTCCTCAGTCTCAACAAGCACCTTCAGGGCTGGGAAGAGAGTGTTTTACAAATGAAATCCCACCTACATTTCATCACAATCAGTTCTTCCCTCTTGTCTCAGACCATTGGGAAATGGGGCCACCTCCTTTTACTCCTACAAGATTTCCTCAGCAGGCCACCGGTGAAGGCTGTGAAGTAGCCAAACATGGGCATGGAGAGGTGGGAAGGCGTTGCTAAAGGGTCTTCTGTGTGGATCCCCAGAGATCTTAGCAGCAACAGAAGCACTTAGGGAGCAAAAAAATACACCCTCGGTGTCAACCCTTGCTAAATTTCAACCACCAGGCCATACCAAAGGTAGTCATCCGCTGTGCCTCTTGCCACGAGATAGTGAATGCCCACAGAGTTTGTCTGTCCAATGCGGTGCACCCGGTCCTCAGCCTGGATCAGCACCTGTAGGTCCCAGGGATCAGAGACATATAGGTGGAGGCTTGAGGCAGCTCCAGCCGACTATGGCAAGCTGCTTTGTGCCTCTGAACCCCTAGAACCCCTCCTTAAAGCGTCTCACTGTCGTATCATGTGCTGGGGGGCCTGCAAGCCCCTACCTACAGACAACCTGCCATTTTAACAAACATAAGAACCCAACGAAATACTGGCTAGAGAACTGGAATCAGGAGCTGGGCATTTGTGGATGGGCTTTTTGTGCTGGGCACTGTGCTAGGTGCTGCAACTGGGACAAGTGGAGGCCCCATCAGTCTGGGTGAGGACAGCAGACAAGGGGGAAACCTGCACACTTCCAGGTCTTCTCTCTGTGAAATAAAAACAGCTGTCTACTAAATAAAATAAAAATACCCCACCTAGGGGAGAGGTCAGAGATGAATAGAGGGAAAAAACAAAAACAAAACCAAACCCAGTTGCCATGGAGTGGATTCCAACTCATGGCGACCCCATGTGTGTCAGAGTAGAACTGTGCTCCACAGAGTTTTCAATGGCCGATTTTTTCGGAAGTAGATTGCCAGGCTTTTCTCCCAAGGCACCTCTGGGTGGATGTGAACCTGCAACCTCTTTGTTAGCAGCTGAGCGAGTTAGTTAACTGTTTGCACCACCCAGGGACTCCAGGACTAATCAGAGGGTAGGGTGGTTTTCTTAATATGGTGGTAAGTCTTAAAATAAAAACTAAAACCAACGAGCATTGTCTCTGTTATAAAATGCTTCAAAACCTCGAAGTTCACCATCATTAAAGCAGTCACAGATGTGCAGTCAATGAAAGCCACACCACATCAGAACATCGGAGGGGAATGCCTTCTTTCTGGAGCTCAGGAGAAAATGCCATGAGTTCAAACAAACGTCTTGTATCTGCTGTCACAACCCTCAGATGCACAGGTAAGACCAATGGGCACGATGATGTCCAGGGAACCCCCACTGCAGTCCTCCTACCTGTGGCCCTGTCAGCTAAAGCGGCTCACTGGTGGCTCATAAACGGGCACCAGCTGGAGCATCCGAGACCTGGATGCAGCCTGGTGCTGCCACATGCTGCCTTTAAGTGACAGCCATGTATGTGGTCCCGGGCTCACTGCTCAGCTCACTGGGCCCCAAATTTCTTCACATGAAGATGAATTCTAAGATTCCCTCCAGCCTTCTAAAACCTCACATTTCCCATTATTAAATGGTGTCAGTAATCCCAGTACTTCACAGGTTGTTGTGAGGACCTAATAACTAGCCAGGAGATGTGCCAGTGCTTAAAGGAAGCCAAACCTGCCATATGGAAACCATAAACACGTTTATGAAAACGAAAGTGGCAAAGGGAAAGCCCCTGGAAACCCCGCCCTCTCCAACTGAAAGCAGCATCTTCCTTCCCCAAACCAGGCACATGCCCGGGGGGAATCCAAGCTTTTTGCATCCCTTACCCCTGGGTTCCAGAACAGCTCGGCGAAAACCACCAGGTCAGCAGAGGAGAAGGTAAGGCCCATGTTGGCTGCGGTGACGGACAGCACGGCCACGGCGTGCCTCTCGGATAGCTGGAACTGCTCGCACAGATTGTCTCGGTCTGCGGAGGGGGTGGAGCCGTCGATGCGGATGTGCTGCACATGCTGGGGGACCAGGGAGGCAAAAGCAGGGAGGTGGGCTGGGCTTTGACAGGGCGCTCCCACCCAAGACAAAATATGGTACTGCGGGCCCACCCGGGGTCCAAGCCCACTGCCTTCAGAGCTCCTCGTCCTTCTTTTTACTTAATTGAAATTTGTACTAAGAACACTGCGGATCCACATTCAGTTATAAGAATACACACAGATGTCTCGTCCGCTTTGCCCACCTTCGCCCAATGGTGACATCTTGCAAAACTATCGTACCGTGTCACAACCTACATGCTGACACTGATAAAATCTACCAATCTTCTTCAGAGCTCCCCAGTTCTGTTGCTGTTTTCAGCTGTTGTTGAGTTGATTCCAACTCATATTGATCCCATGTGACAGAGTACAACTGCCTCATTGGGTTTCTAGGCTGGAATCCTCATGGGAGCAGATTGCCAGGTCTTTCTACCATGGTGCTGTTGGGTGAGTATGAATTGCCAACCTTGCAGTTAGCAGCTGAGCGTAGAACCATTATGCCACCAAGGCTCCTTCTCTTCACTTTTACTTGTGCTTATTTGTGTGTGTGTAGGGGCGGGGGTAGGAGTGTATTCTATACAATTTTATCATGTGTGTAAGTTTTTTCTGAAAATTATCCATTTTAATAAAACGAAATGAGTATGTCCAGAAATGATTTTAGAATCTTGATTAACCTTTTGTATAATATCAAATATGACCATTTTCAAACTTGAGTATGACATATGTAATTTTTTTCTGCTGCCTTGACCACGTATTCTGTGAGTCTAAAACAGGTTTCTAGGGAGCTACTTCAATGTATATAAAACTCTTTTTTTAAAAAAAATTTATTGTGCTTTAGGTGAAAGTTTGCAACTCAAGTTAATTTCTCACACAAAAATTTATACATATATTATTATGTGACCCTAGTTGCAATCCCTATAATGTGACGGCACACTCCCCCTTTCCACCCCGGGTTTCCCACGTCCATTCAACCAGCTCCTATCCCTTTCTGCCTTCTCATCCCGCCTCTGGACAGGAGCCACCAATTTAGTCTCGAGTATCTACTTGAACTAAGAAGCACACTCTTCACGAGTATTATTTTATGTTTTATAGTCCAGTCTAATCTTTGTCTGAAGAGTTCACATCAGGAACGGTTTTAGTTCTGGGTTAACAGAGAGTCTGGGGGCCATGTCTTCTGGGGTTCGTCTAGTCTCAGTCAAACCATTAAGTCTGTTCTTTTTACGTGAATTTGAGTTGTGCAACACATTTTTCTCCTGCTCCATCAGAGACTCTCTGTTGTGTTCCCTGTCAGGGGGGTCTACATAGGTTTTCATGTTATCCACCTCCAGGGTCAATGCCAACACCTCAGGAACTCCCTCTTTGTAATCCTTTTATGACACATCCACTTCCCTTCTTCTTCCTCCTTCTCCTCCCCCCAGTCTCTAGTCCCTGGCAACCACTAATCTGTCCTGCATTTCTAAAATTTTATCATTTCAAGAATGCTATATAAATGGAATCATACAATATGTAAACTTCTGGAATTGGCTTTTCTCACTCAGGAAAATCCCCTGGAGAGTTATCCAGGTTGCTGAATATATCAATCGTTCGTTCCTACTTCTTGATGAGTTGTATTCCATGGTACGCACACCCTACATTCACCTATTACCTGTTGAAGGACATCTGGGTTGATTCCAGTTTTTAGACTTCAAATAAAGCTGCTCTGAACAGGTTTTTGCATGAATGTAAGTTTTCATTTCTCTGAGGTGAATGGTCACTATGAGTCAGAGCAGACTAGATAGTAATTGTTTTTTTAAAATGCAGATGAGTCAACTGCTGGATCATTTGGAAGTTAGATGTTTAGATTACCTTGATTTCTTTAAGTGACATTTATTTTTTTCTAATGATAAAGATAAACATTACAAGTAAGATAAAAATATTAGTAACCTTATCAATCTATTTTTTCCTGCCACTATTTTCTCAATGTATCTTTAAAAAAAAAAAAAAAAGTTTTATATCCTGCTTTCCCTCAATAAACATTAAGTTGTAAATAAAATTATTAGTTCTCTAAAACATGGTTTTTAATGGTAGTCTATTTCATTATGTGGTGATACAGTAATTTAACATTCTTCTATTTCTACACACTTAGGGTATTTCTAATTTGCACTGAAAAAAGGACAGGTTGGCAAATGTCTATCAAGAGTGAAGAGATAAATAAAAATTGTGATATGTCCATAGAATGGAATACTACTTAGCACCAGAAAGGAACAAACAATTGATAAATGCAAGAACATGGATGAATCTCAAAAAAATTATACTGCATGAAAGAAATGAAACAAACAAACAAACAAAAGACTATGTAAAAAATGCAAACTAATCTACAGCGATAGATAGTAGATCAGTGGTTGTCTGGGGATAGGAGGGTGGGAAGGGGCAGGAGGGTGGGATCACAAAGGGGCACAAGCAAACTCCTGGGGGAGGTGGATAAGTTCACTGTCTTCATTGTGTACAGTTAGCAAACCGTACACTTCAGGTATATGTAGTTTACTGTCTGGCAATTATACCTCAATAAAGCTATTAAAAGAAAATTTTTTAAAAGGATAGATTGAAATACCCGTTCACGGTTCTTTGTCCACATTTGATTATTACCTTAGACTAGCTGCTAAAGATCACAGTCCTATGACAAAAGGGGAAAACTTAATTTAAGGCTCCTGATATTATCGCCAAATTGCTTTCCAAAAAGGCATGTATGAGCACGTCAATCTCGCCATACCTTCGTCAGCAGTGAGCACCACACATTTGATAGATTAAAAAAAAACAAAAAAAAGAAAAAGTATCTTGTTTTAATTTTTCATTTATTTGACTACTAGTGGAGTTAAATCTTCTCATATCTTACTAGCTACCAGTGTTATTTCTTTGATGAACTATCTATTCATATACTTGGCCAAATTTTTTTCCTACTGGGTATTACTGCCATCTTTGTACAGAAAGGCTATTATTTGTATGTCCTATAGGTTGCTAATAGACTCCCTAGTTTATTTCCTTTAATTCATTTTTATTTGTTTTCTAAATGCTTCTGTATATTTTTATATACCTTTAATTTTTCTGATCATAAAAATAATACATAATCATTATAAAAATACAGGAAGAATAAAGAAGATAATGGGGACTACTTAGAGATAACCATCATTAATGTTTTGGGTATACATGATTCAGGCTTTTTTCTTTTTTCTATGCATCACAATTTTAAAAAAATCACTCGAGTCACTACAAGTCAAAATTGACTCAACAGCAACGGGTTTGGTTTTGTGTTTTTGTATACATATAGCTTTTCAACAGCATATCATGGACAGCCTTCCATACCAATATATACCAACCAGATACCAACAGTTTCAATTTTAAAATTTCCTCAAATTCTTCAAGGGTCTAATGATCTCCAAAAAGTTAAGGACCACTGATCCATATTATCATTTTTTTATGGGTGAATGGACTATAATTTATTTAACAGTACACCTACTGATGAACATTTAAGTTCCTAATTATTCAACATTATAAACGACAACATGACTAATATTCTTGTACACAAATCCTTCTGCACTGGTCTGGTTATTTCCAGTAGAGGGAGTCTAGAAAAATGAGTGAGCACATTAAGTTATTGCCAAGTTATCCTGCAAAAATGCACCAAATGTTCAAAAGTACCATGATTTAACCACTATGCATGTGTGTGACAGACAGATATACATTTTCAGGTAATATAAATTAATTTTTTCCTTTGTGATTTCTTTCATTGTTTTTATGTATAGAAAGTCATTCTCTATCCAGTGATCAGCCATATATTCATCTATAGTTTCTCCTAATATTTTATGCTTTCAAGGATCTTTTATTTATCTGGAATTTAATATCACAAATGGTGAGGTAAAGTTTCATTTAAGTTTTCCCCCTAATTACCCAAATTTCATTTGTTGAACAAATTAAACCTGATTTGTGATGATTCCTTGATCATGTGCTCATTTTTTATTTATACTTAAGAGCCCTTTATTCTATTCTGTTCCATCCATCTGGCTGCCAGTTCTTGGACCAGCATCACTGAGTTTCAATTACTTGTGCTTTATAATAGATTTTCACATCTGGAGGGACAAGTCCTCTGACATTGTTCTTCTTTACCAAGTTGTCTTAGCTATATCTCCTGCTTATTTTTTGAGACACTTTTTAGAATAACAGTATAAAAGTTCCCTTTAAAAATCCAGTTGGAATGTTTATTAGAACTGAACTAAACCTACAAGTTAACCGAGGAAGGACTGGCATGTTTATACTTTTTAGCCTTTGCACAGAGTAGAATGGCACAAGTCTTTCTAATTCTTCATTAGTTTCTGCACTCTCCTTGGTGAGATTCATATTAGGCACTTTATGTTTTTTGTTGCCATTGTGAGCTTAATTTTTTTTCCCCATTACATTTACTCATTAGTTATAGCTGGGACATAAAAAAGCAATTTATTTTAGTGTATTTATTTGGGATCCAGGCACCCTACTGAACTTTTATGCATTCTAATAGTTTTTCTATTAATTATCTTGGGTTTCTTACAAATAGTTACAGCTCTGGTCTTTTATTTTCTAGGGATTACAGCTTTTAAGTCTACCGGCTGGCTTCCTGTATCACATCATATAGAAAAATCGAGCCCCAAGTAGATTAAAGATCCACCTCTAACATTTTCAGACAAAAAATACAGGAGGAAAAGATTTCTTAAATCAGTTATAAAATGCACCAATCACAGAGAACATAAAAGGATACACAGCCCACTGGTAATCAGGGAAATTCAAATTAAAATAAGAACAAGATAACAGTTCATTTTACCAGATGGTCAAAATTAAAAAGTGTGGTAATACCAAGTGGTGATGAACATACAGAGCAGAAGAATTCTTATCTGTTGCTGCTGGGATTATGAATTTAAACAACCATCTTGGAGAGCAGTTTGATAAAGTAATGTGGAAATGAGCCCAACCAGTGACTAAGCAAGATCATGCTTGGAAAAACCAACGCGCATGCGCGCACTTGTAGGTGGGGCAAGCGATACTGCTGGGAAAATATCTTGACCCCATGGTGGGTCTACAAGCAAGAACTCTTCTTCGGAAGTCTTTAGCAATGTTTCTGCCATCTTACTTTTTGCTAGGATCTGAACTAAGCCTGCTAAGCCGACACACAAACAATAAAAGCACTCTTGAATTTCAAAGGGAGCTTACCTTTCTCTCAAGCTCATTAGTAATTGCATCCAAAACCACTTTATGGTGTGCAAACACTAGAAACTTCTCTTTTCCACTTTCCAGTAAGTCCAGGATATATTCACTGCATTTGACAAGGACAACAAAATAATGTAAACACATACTCATCCAGGTGGGGTTAATTACTGAAAAGTGACCATGTCTGTAGTGGACACCTTCAGGGTACCTGACCTCCCCAGCCCATTCACTCCCTTCTCTGGGAGCTGATCACTCCCCTTTCCCTCACACCAGATCATCTGAATAGAAGAAGCGAAATTTGGAGCTACAGGGCAGCCATCTTCTGCCATGTGCATAAAGTGGCAAAGAGAGTTCGTTTATCCTTTTTAGTCAACTCACATTCACAAATAAATTGAAGTATCCTTATGTTTTATGTGTATCTGGTACATTACTGAAACATGATTGTCTGGGATCACAGAAGATAACTAACAGTTTTAACTTCAGTTGCTATTATTGTAATATGTTTTCCATCAAATTAAAGCGTCTTCTGTAGATCTCAAAACTCCTAAGCAGGGGGTTAATGGATTCTTGACAGTAAACAAATTTCTGGAAGCTTAATATTGTGACAAAAGTAATAATACTGAAGAGACCTTCAGGGAATGCCTGGTGTTCAGGCAAAACTCTCTGGTTCCCTCCTACTTCAGACCTCAAATTACAGGGCCAAGAGTTTAGTCAGTGGTAACTGAATTTTTTTCTGAGGCCAAGGAATATGGAGTGCAGGACATCATCCACTTTGTCTTTATTCTCCCTTTAATTTACTTCTCTCCTCCATCCACTGTGTTTTCTCTTACCTTCCTAGCCATAATGTTTAGCCTAGACCTTAAAGGAACTGTAGGGGGGCAGAGAGTCACCCAATTAGCAGACTCTCCCAGTTTTCCCCAAGGTTACTGCCCGGCAGAGGGTCCCAATCCTACAAAAGAGGTAAGCCAGGTACAGGTAACTGCTATCACATGGGCAATGGGGAAGGTGAGCTTCCTGAAGACACACAGTGCTCATTCTGGCCAAGGCCATTGCCAAACTTGGTGTGTCTGGGCAGAGAACAGACATTACTTTCCTTGACGAAAGACAAATTTCAACAGTTTGCTCTCTTATAGGCAGGTCAGGGAAGGTTAGTGGACTGGCCTCTAAAAATCTAAGAATTATTTTTAAGCAACACTACGACTGACTGGGGTACCCACTTTGAGTTCAATTTGTGAACACTAAAAGAATCTGCTTTAATTAGTTTGAGAGACATAAAATTTGCCATGACATAAGCAAAAGAGATTATTGTTACAGCGTCAAAAAGTCACAAGGCCACAAAATCAACTTGGTTGGCTCATAAAAACCACGGGCCCCAATTTTCCTAATGCCGCTCTGTCCTCTGTGTCTCGGATATGGCTGTGCTATTCTACCCTCCCCCAAGGCCCTAAGTGACCAGACTGAAAATATCTGCCACCACAATAACTTTGAATTCTACATCAAAAGATGCTCATTAAAATGAAAACAAATAAACAATAACCAAAAAAAGAAAAAGGAAGAAAAACAACTAGCAGGGGAAATTGAGGTTTTAAGATCTACAATCTAATTTTCACTAAATCTTGGGTAACATTTAGCTCTCCCATTTACTAGCTGTGTGACTCTAAGGGCCAGAGATTATATGGAATTTAATCGAGGAAAATTGGTAGTTGTCAGAAATGGAATGAAACGCTTGAAGATTGATATCCTAGGCATTAGTGAGCTGACATGGACTGGTATTGGCCATTATGAACTGGACAGTCAAATGGTCTACTACGCCAGCAGTGACAAACTGAAGAGGAATGGCATCACATTCATTGTCAAAAGGAACATTTCAAGATTTATCCTGAAGTACAACACTGTCAATGATAGGATAATATCCATATGCCTACAAGGAAGACAGCCTGAGTGCTCCTTAGAAGTGAAGATGGTAAGACTTTGCCTCACATACTTTGGACATGTTATTAGGTGGGGCCAGTCCCTGAAGAAGGACATCATGCTTAGTAAATTAGAGGGTCAGTGAAAGAGAGGAAGACCCTCAATGAGATGGACTGACACAGTGGCTGCAACAATGAGCTCAAACACAACTGTTGTGATGATGGCACAGGACTGGGCAGTGTTTTGTTATGTTGTACATAGGGTCGCTATGAGTTGGAGCCGACTCAATGGCACCTAACAACAACAACTCAGTTTCTGCATCTTAAAAAAATGCATCCATAATACTTATTTTCTTGACCTCACAAGGAGTCCCTGGGTGGTGCAAACGGTTAACATGCTTGGCTGCTAACTGAAAGGCTGGAGGTTTGAGTCCACCCAGAGTTGCCTGGAAAGAAAGGCCTGGTGATCTACTTCTGAAAAATCAGCCACTGAAAACCCTACGGAGCACAGTTCTACTCTGACACACAAGGGGTCACCATGAGTTGGAATCAACAGCACAGCAACTGTTTTTTTTTAATCTCACACAGATGCTAAAAACGTGAAATGAATTAACAGATGCAAAATTTATTTGGAAACTACAAAGCACTATACGGTTTATGGCAGTGTTTTGAAGAAGTATGCACGAGGTGTGGCCAAAGTTTATTGGTGAAGTGGCAAAGTGATTAGATTTCAAAATTTCTAAGGGAAACGGATGGTTCTGGCCCAACTCCTGGAGAGAGAGGCAGCTCCAAGCCCTGCATTTTGTAGGTCACAAGCTCAAGGAGCAAAGGCAAGAACTCACATAACCTGGCATCTGTCACTGAGCAGCACAGGAGAAATGGGTCGGTGGGGGCAACGCAGACTAGTTTCTACAAGAGAAGTTCCCAGGCCATAAAAGCCACATCTGGAGTTCATTAGCCTCACAACAGTATCATAAATGAAAAGAGCAGTACCCAGGGGTGAGGGAAGACGGTAACATCCAGCAGTCTTTTTTGTGAGGAATCTTAGATTTGTAATAATGCAGCAAAATGCGCTCCCTGACTACACAGAAGGGGCAGAGGGTGAGGCCAGTGGAAGGAGGAGACCTGGGGGCTGAGTGGAGAAGGTGGGGCAGGCTGCAGATCTCAGTCCCCACAGCCAATCCGGTGTGCTCAGCCCACACTAAACTCACCTTCATTGTTATTCAATCACTTGGACCATTATTCCGCCGAGACTCACAAGAATGCTAAATGATAAAACATTAAGCCAAGTGCATGTCATTGGAACTACCTCAACTTTCTACACACACTGATATCTGAACATGAGTGGGCTTTTCTTCTTTTAAGAAAGGCAGACAACTGAGGTTTTTAAAAAGTCAGGGAATAACCGTAGAATGGAAATTATTACTTTAGCTTTCGTTTGTAAGATGGAAAGAGGACTAAGTGTGAAATGGCCACTTGACCACATTTTCTGCACAAACTCTAGCAGAAGCCTTTCTGTTCTGGTAACGAAAGTGGAAACTTCGTGTCTTTGGAGAAGACCCGATGACCACCGTGAGGCTGCTTCTCCATCTATCTTCCCTGCAACTCCTGAAAGCAAATGACCACAGTTCTCCTAGCAAGAGGACCCTATCCTTTAGTGTTTGCGGCAGCTCCACCCTCCTTTAAGGGGTGGCACCGTCCACCAAAGTTAAGACAAGGCCTCTTAGGACTCCAAGCACATTCCGGTAGGGGCTCCAGTTACAGGCTGACTTATGCCTTCAGGCAATGATGTCCCCAATTTTTTATTTTCAAGAAAGCTGTAATCTAATCTCACAACAATGATCATTTCTTACACAGCAGCATAAACCATTCTGGCAGCTAAGGTATTAGGGGTTTGTTTTAAAAGAAGACAGACAGAGAGAGGAGTTAAGTTGACACTGCGTGACCACTTACTTACATGACAGATGGGATTTTGGTTTCAGCTGTCCTCCTGAAGAAGAGAAAGAGGGCCTCTTTCTGCTGCTTTTTCTGTTGAAAAGGAAGTTGAGAGTTTAAAGTCCTCCATCTGAGAACTCCGGGATACCCAAAACCACTGCCTTCGAGTCAATTCTGACTCACAGTGACCCCCATGCAGTTTCTAAGGCTATAAATCTTTACGGAAGTTGACTGCCACATCTTTCTCCCACAGAGCGGCTGGTAGGTTCAAACTGCTGACCTTTGGTTAGCACCCGAGCACCTAACCACTGCACCACCAGGGCTCCTTGGAGTCTGGGATAAGCTGACATAATTATTATCACTATGAGCTTTTCAAATCCCAACCACCGGTATCCAGAGTCAGGAACTGCCTGGACTCTATAGTTTTGTCCTTAGAGACATGGTATTATAGCTACCCTGTCACTCCCTGAGAACTCAAATAAGGCAAGAAATATGAAAGCTTTTTGGAAAGCCGTTTTAGGTAGGGATTCACCACACATACCAAGCTCATGTTAATCAGCTTAAATACAGCCTTAGCTAGGCCCACCTGTCTCCTACACCTCGGTGACAACTTACACATGACATTTGCCCAGCTTGTTTTTTGACTCCCCTTTTTGGTGAGGCTCAGTTGTTAAGAGCTACAGCTGCTAACCAAAAGGTCAGCAGTTCAAATCCACCAGCTGCTCCTTGGAAACCCTATGGGGCAGTTCTACTCTGTCCTATAGGATCACTACGAGTCAGAATTGACTTGACAGCAACGGGTTTGGTTTTGATTTTTTCTTCTGCCAAGTTGTGTTCATGCCTCCCTGATGAAGCTTATCTCTAAGACTTGCTGAATCAATTCCAACTAACCCTGACTAATCTCCTCATTCTAGTATCTTCTCAAAACCATTATTCCCATTTTTGGCCTGTTTCCCACATAAGGTCATTAACTTCCCAGGGGAAGAAACCATTTTTTCTATATGTTTTGCTTCTAAATAAATGCTAATAAAGAACATTAACACAGGAGACACTCAAATAGTTTCATAATAACATGAGATATGAGATTATTGTCCTGGGCTCCCAGAGGTGGTGTTCTTGCCATTGCTGGTAGGGTAGCCATCTCCTTCCACTAGTCTGGCCCTGTGAGACAATGGCTGACACCACCACTTCCTCATGAAACAAAGAAATAATGCAAAAGCAATGATATTTATGGCCGTGAGCTCGTAACTCAGGAAAGCAGCTGCAGCCAGACTGTACCTAAAATGACTGACCCCATTATGGTGGAAAAAGCTACCTGGTGAGAAGAGTTTCTTGACTTTGAACAGTGTCTTTCCTCTAGGTCTTGACAGGAAAGAAGAAAGATACCCAGGAACCACAGAAATTTCTGGGGTAGTTGGTAATGGATCCATTCCACTACCTACCTGTCTGTGGCAGTGGCGCCCACCACCCCTCCCATTTTGTGGCAGCAGTCTGAACAACTCAAGCTTCCTGGGGACTCACATTGAAGATCTGACTCCATGGCAATCTGTCTTTGCTTCTTTCTAGGCTATGGGCCCATTTCAGACTCTGATGAGGCTCTGGACAAACATACAACTTTTCACTTGTGGCCACTGAACTCACTGACTTCCTGAGGGTCATTCATAAAGCCCTGGGGGTCCGTGGGAAGGAGCCCTGGTGGCACAGTGGTTAAGCACTCAGCTGCTAACCAAAAGGTTGGCAGTTTGAACCCATCCCCTGGTTCCATGGGAGAAAAGACCTGGCGATCTGCTTCCGTAAAGATTAGAGCCAACAAAACCCTATGGGGTGGTTCTACTCTGTCATCTGGGGTTATTATGAGTTGAAATCAACTTGATGGAACCCAACAACATGAGGAAGGCATTATTATCCCCACTTTATAGATGAGGAAACTGAGGCATAAAAGTCAAGTGATTTGTTAAGGTCACCCCACTAGTAAATGGCAGAACCAGAATTTGTAGCACTTAAAAGTGCAGGCAGGCTCTGGGCTGGAATCTTGACTGTGAGAATTAGATGACCTAATTCACATAAAGCACAGGCCCTGGCACATAGCAAGTGTTCAATAAATGTTACTCATTATAAGCACTTTTATTTTTCAGACTTTATACAATAGACATCTACTGCATTTTTAATGTGGGAGAAATTGATAGTTTTATCTTGAAAAAAAAAAATCCCCCAAATTAAGTCTCACCCCCAAAACTGGGTAGACACAGCACTGGTCCATTAATGACCTCACTACTTTTGCCAGACTCAGGCCAGGAAATTTTAAATAACCTGTCTTCTTTGTTCCTGCCTCCTAGACTTTTATTAAATAAGATCCAGTGGAGGTTTTAAATTTATTTTTCTATGTTGGAATTGTGAATGGATTATCAAACGGCAGACAGGTGAACTGATATTGTCACTAGGAAGTCTGTACGGACTTGTTCCATTGTTCGGCTCCTGGTCTTGCTGATCAAAAAATAGCTTTAGACAAAGGATGATTAGAGTCGGCTTTTCTTAGCCTGTGAAGAGATATCTATTATTTCAGCTGAAAAATGAGAAAAAGCTTTCATTACGCATTGTATCTTATAAATTGGCTGCTTCACCTTGGCTTCTGTGATTTAAACCTTTTTTTTTTTTTTTTTAAATCTTCCTGCAGATGGAAAGGTGTGAGGGAAAAAAGACAGAATCAATTCTTGACAGGTGAGTGGTACTGTGCTGCAGCTACCATGATATGCAAAGTTGCAGGGAAACTTGGGGCTAAAAAGTAACTATCAAAATGGGGGGGGGGGGAACACTACTTTCTGTAGACTCACCGGGCCTCCTATGTGACTGAAACCATCAAATCATGATTCTACATTTTAACTCTTTCAACTCAGGATTTCAGAGCTGGCCAGAATTTGAAAGGGATGTCAATGGCCATTTAGTCCAACTCCCAGCAAACACTGGCGCTGGTTCCCCTTCCTGAATGAAGTCTTTAAACTAGGGCAATGCTCCCCATCTGATCCATGGCTTACAGATCGGTGGTTTTAGAATTACAAACGTCTGACAGCCCAACATACAAAACAAACAAATTCATTTTCTACTTGGACTTTCCATTATAAAAATGAATTTACATTAAAGAACACAATAGGAAATCAAGTTCTCTAGGATTTATCTTATTATCTAAAATAACTGAGTACCTCGCTTCAGCATCATGCTGAAGGTAATTTCTACCAACTCAATTCTTTCAGGGATTAAACTCTTAACTTCCCTAAGACTCCAAGAAATCAGACAGCAACTCTCAAACGCCGCAATGAGAAGAGCACTGAGCTCTTTCTCAGCTGCATTCTTGAGGAACTACACTGCAATTCTGGCCTGTTCCATAATCTCCAAAATAGAGTTAAGGCTGTGGGGTGTTTATGAAACAGAAATGATAATCACACAGCACTATCCTTATATGCTCTTCCAGCACCAAGCCTATGGGGTAAGTCATAGCTCCTTTTTTAGGTTAAAAAAAAAAAAAAAAAAGTAAGAACATGCTAAAGAACTGAAGGGCTTTGCACAGTTATGTGAAGTTATAAAACACCCACGGGTCCCTAGGTGGCGCAAATGGTTTAGAACTCGACTACCAGACACAAGTTTGGTGGTTCAAACCCACTCAGAGGCACCTCGGGAGACAGGCCTGGTGATCTGCTTGCAAAGGATCACAGCCTTGAAAATCCTATGGAGCTTATTTTCATAAGCATACTATGCTGATTTTTTTATAGCAACATGTTAGAAAAAACTGGCATAGCTGCGCTTCTGAAAATACCTCGTGGGGGGAGGGCATGGTTGGCAAACAAATGTTGAAGGCACGCATTATTTGAGTAAAAATACAGCACTTCTAATTTTATTTTTTGGCCATCCTACATAATGCACAAGTGCCTCTTGGCCAGTGAATGTGACTTTCCTCCTCAGTTCAAAAGCCCACTGATTGCTTTTTCGGTTGTCCACACTAGCTGTCTTCAAACTTGTCAGAAGGTAGACCAGGTAGAGGCGAGGGTGCTCTCTAGGGAGTCCCATAAATACCGACAGACTCAACTCCCATTACACACACGAGGAATAGCTATACTAGCAGAAAACAATGTTTTACAAATATTCAGATCTTTGCATCTACAAATATTGCATGTCTGGATTTTTTACGTTAATATTATATTTGCTCTACTTGATCACTGGTTTTCTTGGCTGATAGAGCTCACTAGCAGACAAAAGTTAGTAGTCATATAAGGGCTTAAGAAAAAGTTATAAGGAAAAACTTAAAATGGAGAAAAAAATTTTTCTATTCATTGAATTTTTATCTCTGGAAATCAGAAAAAGACCACCAAGACTGATTTAGCAACCTAACACCCTGGTTCGGCTTATGTTGTTGCATGCTGTTGAACTGATTCCAATTCATAGTGACCCTACCGGACAGAGCAGAGCTACCCCAGAGGGTTCGGCTTGTGGCTCCACTGAAATACAATTTGAGAACCACTGGTCTATGTGTGGCTCTTGGGTGGCGCAGATGGCTAACTGCTCAGCTGCTAACTGAAGGTTGGTCGTTTAAGCCCACCAAGAGGCGTCTTGGAATGAAGACCTGGCGATCTGCTTTTTAAAGGGCACAGCCTTGAAAGCCCTATGGAGTGCAGATCTACTCTGTAACATACAGGGTCGCCATGAGTCAGAGTTGACTTGATAGCAACTAGTCTTTTTTTTTTGGTCTGTATGCTCACATCAACGTTGTTGAACTTTGAAAGATCCTTGGGAAAGAAAGCATACCTGCTTATTTCCTCTGGATCATCCAGATTAGTATATATAATACATCATAAACTAAGTATGGAGGGACAGTTTACCAGTGCCCCCTCTACCCTATCTGTTTCTTAAAGTTACCAGCTAGTCCTGCTCATCACATGATGACATGATAAAATAACATTTAAAAAAATCATGTACTCCTGTCTCATCATCCTGAGTTATTTGTAATCTCCTAGAAGGCTGAGACAACCTCTATATCTAAATTTCTTTATATAGGGTATCATCAAGTCCAGATAATACTTTACAATAATGTCAACACATGCCAATGACTGTTATTTTCTTGGCAATGAAAACTGCAAGGTTTTATCCCAAGAGAATGGAAGCAAAGCTGGTGTAGATTACTATCTAACACTTAGCATGATACGACACTAAGGACAGATATTAAATTAAAGAAATGCTTTGAAAAGATAAAAACACCACAGTGAAAAGAGCCCTAAAATGTAGGGGTAAGAAGTGTGGTTTCAGACTCAGCTCTGCTACCTAGTACCCATGGGACCCTGGGCAAGTCTGGAGCTCAATGGTTTTCCTCAGTTTCCCTCTCCGGAAAATGGAGACACCAGCTTCTGCTAAGCTTAAATGGATGTAATAAGGATTCAAAGGGTTAACGGCTTGAAAATTCTATGCTGTTAAACAAATTACATAACTATACGATACGTTATTATGACCAGAGCAAGGGACATGGTATGGTTAGAGGGCTAACATGTATCAGATACATGTAGGCTCATTTCTAACAACTGTTACTAGACTGAGGCATTCTCAAAATACACTAAGCGTAAGTCCCAACTTTCTTGGAGGAATTCAGAGTGTATATCACCATCCTGCAGCTCCCCTGGGTTTACTTTTAGGACCATCTGTCAACAGTGATTTACACAATTATAAAAACCAACAAACAGCTGCCACAGAGTTGACTCTGACTCATGGGGATCTCATGTGTGTCACGGTAGAACTGTGCTCCATAGGGTTTTCAACGGCTGATTTTCTGGAAGAAGATTGCCAGGCCTTTCTTCTGAGGTGCCTCTGAGTGGACTCGAACCTCCAACCTTTCACAGTTAACAGCTGAGCACATTAACCATTTGCACCACCAAGGGATGCCACACAAGTATAAAACTGCAAATTAGTAAGAGATTTTCTAAGTAGACGAGGCAGGGTAAGAATAAAACAGGCTCCCTGTTCTTGCCCAGGGAAGTGAGAAGACATTCCAGAAAGGCAAGTCCAAGAACTCTGGGTAGTGTGCACAGCGCCCTCACAGGAAGGAACACCTGTGGATATGTCTACCTCTACATACCCATCTCCAGCCCCAACTTACAGTTTTGTCCTTGGTGATCATCTCCTTGGCCACAGCATCCAGGGCGGCTCTGGCCCTGGCACTGATCCGTCCCGGGGCAACAACCACCATCTTGCGCTGTTTGGCAGGGAGCTGGGAAAGGACATCAGATTTGAGGCGCCGCAGCATGATCGCTTCCTCCAGTAGGAGCTTCAGTTCGTTGAGGTTGGAGGAGCCCGAATAGTCCCATCCCCAGGGCTGCTGTGGAGAAGAAGACACAGCCCAGTGAGTGTTCTCACGGGGCCCCGAGTGCCAGGCCACCATCACCACCCCTGTTCAGAGAACTTCACACGGCTTTACAAGGATATATAGCTCCCAAAATAATAAAAATGAGAAATAGGTAAGAAAGGCAAAGGGAAAAAAGAGAGTCAGGAATGAGGTGAACAAAAAACACGGATCAGGGGGTTCTACGATTTGGCACTGAGCTTTCCAGCAGCAAATGCAAAAAGGGAAATTTAATTAGTCAAGCAGTTTGGTGTCCATTACATTAAAAAAAAAAGCGAAAAACTAAGCTTGTCAGATATTCCTTGCATCCTAAACACAGAACTATGTCTTCCCTGGGGTTTGTCCTACAGAGCCTATTGCACAATGCCGTGGATAATGCTGTCAGTAACATCGTTAACTGATGAGTTTTACAGGGATTTTAAAAACTGTTGTTCCTCAGTATGGGTTACACCAACACAACCAAGTATAATGTAGTGAAATCAGTCGAACTGGTGGTGGTGGTGGTTGCGGGTAGGGGACCTAGGACCCAGGCTCTTGCCCATCTGGCTGAATCCAGAGGGAGTTTCTGGATTGCCTAGGCAGTCCCTCACATACACGGTCCCCTCACTTAGCAGCTCTTGAGAGGCAGATTCCCAATTAAAATAAAAACTTTATCCTTCACCGACAGTCTTACTGAAAAAAGGAAGGATACACACATAGAAGATCAAGGACCCACAGTGTCTGCTGCCTTTATTTTCCACTGCTCAACTCCCCTCCTGCCTCACCCTCCTGGACCATGAGTTACCTCAGGGTGGGGGCCAGGTGTGCTCATTTTTGAGGGCCCCGGGACCTAGAGTCATGGAGGAGACATGCTAACCCAAAACAAACCCATTGCCATCAAGTCGATTCCGACTCATAGAGACCCTATAGTACAGAGAAGAACTTCCCCATAGGGTTTCCAAGGCTGTAATCTTTAAGGAAGCAGATTGCTACATCTTTCTCCCTTGGAGCAGCTGGTGCATTTGATCCACCGACCTTTCAGTTAGCAGCTGGAGACATGGTCGGTGTCCTGTAAACCTTCACTGAACTGAGGCTGGTAAGAAAGTCAAAGATGGAGAAATAAAATGATCAAAAGCTGTTTCTTCTTATTAAAAAATACTCTGAAATCAACTGGGAGTTCTCAGCAAACGCCTTTCAATAGCTCTGGGGTCACAAATGAGCTAAGCACGGGGTGCTCTCTTCAGTGGCGTCTCTTAATGCTTGAAGGTAACCAATCAAAAGCAGCTCTGGCTTACAGGCTGCATTAAATAAAAATCATGCCGGGAACAAGTGGATATTATAATTAATTTGGATACCATGCTCCTAACTTCTAATCCTGTCAGCTCTTAATCTTGCAGGCCAAGACCCAACAATACAAAAGATTTTAAATTGGGTTCTGGGATAATCACAATCCAACAAGCATTTATTGAAAACTTAACATGTACAGGCACTGGGCTAGGTGGAAGGACAGATCTAAAGATGTCTATGCCCTTAGTTTGTTGTTGTTAGCCATTGTAGACTCAGCCCCGGCTCATGGCGATCCCGCTCACAATACAACAAAATGTCGTCCGGTCCTGTGCCATCCCCGTGATCAGTTGTAGCTTCAACAGTTGTGGTCCATATAGTTTTCACCAGCTGATTTTTGGAAGTAGACTGCCAAGCATTTCTTCCTAGCCTGTCTTAGTCTGGAAGCTCCATCGAAACTTGTTCAGCATCATAGCAACACACAAGCCACCACTGACACTTGGGTGGTGGCTGGGCATGCGGTGCGTTGGCCACGAATCAAACCCATGCAAGGCAAGCATTCTACACCAAACCACTGATGCCTCGTGCCCTTAGCTTAGGGAATAGCAATACTATTTTATTAACTGCCACATGGTAGGAACATCATTTGCTATGTTTGTTTTATCTGGCAGAAGAGAGGGCACGAAGAGGACAGGAAAGGGAGAATTCACAGATGTCTCCTTGGTTTCTGGCTTGAGGGACTGGGGAAATAGGGGCTTGAGATTGAGAACACAGGAAGGGATAGTCTTTAAGAAGCCCCTTTCACCACTAGTTCATCATTACCCCATGGACCTAGACAGTCATGGGAGAGAAGACCCTTTTCAGAAAGTGAATCATTTGCAATTAGGACAAAGGTAAAAATTACATGCAAAGAGCTTGAGGAATCATGAAAACTATATGCCATCAATCTAATCTGGACTGGTCCATGCGGGAAGTGGGTAAGATTTTGTTAAAGAAGTATATGGCTTTTAAATACATTTGAAAATTGAGACGTTTCCAGTTTCAATAACCACCTAAAAATGGTCTGCAATTAAGTTTGCAAAGCCCTACAATTTACATTATAAGTACTTTGTTTGAATGTAAGTGGATACTTTTTAAGTACTTGAAAAATTTTTTCTTTTAAAAAAGTATTTAAAAATAAGGCAGATAATCTTATTTATATATCACAAACTCGCATAATTGTCTTTTCCATCACAGATGGCATGTGAGTAAACTGCAGCCATTTCTCCAAACTGTCAGTGTCTTAGATGTAAACAGGAGCTCTGTAAATTTGTGATTTAATTACAAAACAGGAATCCCTAAGGTCTGAATTAATAAGGTTTTAGAAAGAGTTTTTTTTTTTGTTTGTTTGTTTAATGATAGTTCTCTTTTTTTTTACTATGGCAAATATAAGCGCTGGCGGCGCAGTGGTTAAGAGCTCGGCTGCTACCAAAAGGTCGGCAGTTCAAATCCTCCAGCTGCTCCTCGGAAACCCTATGGGGCAGTTTTACTCTGTCCTATAGGGTTGCTATGAGTTGGAATCAACTCGATGGCAACAGGTTTTTGGTTTATGGTAAATATATATGTAACCAAACATCTGCCATTTCAATGTTTTTTACATGTACAATTCCGTGACATTAATCCTATTCAGCTTGTTGTTCAACCATGACCACTATCCATTTCCAAATGTTTCCATCCCTCTTAACAGAAGCTCAGTGTCTCCTAAGCCAGTGAATCTCCCCTTCCCCCTCCCTCTTGCCCACGCCTGGTAACCACTGACAAACTTAGGCAGGAAGACAGACTGTGACTGCAATGGCATTTGTGTTAACAGGCTCCCTGGCCATTGCAGAGAACTCACACTGCATAGACTGTAGCTCTACCAGCACCATATTCATGGAACTAATATGTAAGTCAAAGGCTTCTGGCCACTGATCAGGAACAATTCACTATAATGAGCCACCACTTATGAGCAAAGGTTCAGTGACAAAAATCTACCCAAGGCAGCTTGAGATGGTGCTTCCACCTCTGTTGTCCTAGCACAGACAAGATTTTTTCACTTTACTTCATACTCCTCCCCCACCTCACTCACCTTCTCCCCCTGCCGAAGCCTCACCCTTACCTCTAGCTCACCTCAGTACTTCTCTCAGATAAGCACCAATGGCTCTCAGAGCCCCACACATCTAGCATTAGCCACTGGTCCATTTACTGTAGAACACTGGCTGGGAATCACCAAAGACATTAAAGCCAGAGGGGATCGTTCTCATCTTACCCCTGGGGAAACTCTCAGGTCAGAGTTAGGCCAAGCAGAACTAAAACCTCCACCCAGATCCCTGGCCAGTGTTCTTCTGTCCACACCACAGCCAGGGAGAAGGAACAAAAAGGTTAAGTGCCGAGATGAGGATGAGGGATGTGTGGGCAAAAGAGGGAAGAGAGAATGAATACCCGCTTGGCATCACAGTAGCGCAGTCCGAAGGCATGGAACTGAGGAAAGAAAGTTGGCTTGACTGCGATGATCTGAGTGTAGAGCTCCGCAGGCCGGGACATGGCTGGTGTGCCTGACAGCAAGATCACCCTCTTGGCAACCTAGAAAACACACAGCCAAAGGTGTTGTGAAGACACGGGAAAGACACAGGGGAGATCCAGCCTGCCCCAAGGAGGCAAGAGCTGGATGCCACCAAAAACAGCAAAATCCTCTGGGATCTAGCACAAACACCTTTCACTTCCTGGGCACCCGAATGCTTGCAGTTCTCAAGTTTAATCACCTCAGAACTAAGGGGAGATCCCAAAGATGCTAAAGGCTGGCCTCTTTCCAGAACTCCATGTGGCTCATGCGTGGGGCTCAATGAGTGAAGGTACCATGACTAGAAAAAAAGACCACCTGTGACCAGAGAACCTGATGGCACTGCTGGGGGGCACTTAGATGTCACTTCGGTTTCTTTAAGTCCTCACTCACTGTCTTCATGGCGCCCTCTGCTGAGCTTTATCTTGGCACTTAATGCATCACACTGAATTTTATTTTCTTCTCTCTCCCTCACTAGAATGCAAACTACTTTTTTGATGGTGGTAAACACATATGTAACAAAACATGTCATTTTACCATTCTTCACATGTACAATTTAGTAACATGGTGTTTATTATGTTATTCAACTGACACCATTATCTATTTACAAATTTTTCCATCACCCTTAACAGAACTCAGTGTCTTCTAAGCAATGAGTTCCCCCTTCCCCCTCCTTCCTGCCCACCCCTGGTAACCACCAATAATCGTAAGTCTGTGTACATTTGCCTATTCTAGATCTTTCATGTAAGTGGAATCAGACAATATTTGTCCTTCTGACTACAAACTTCTTGTGATCAAAGACCAGGCTCTGTCTGCCCTCATATTCTATAGTATAGTGCCTGGTACAGAGTAAGTAATCAATAAATGCTCACTGTAGGCCGAAAACAACTCAGAAGGCAGCTTATCAGTGTTCTAGGGAACACGGGGTAAATTCAAAGAACCCAGCATTGGAAAAGGAAGTGGAATGGGGTGGACAGCAATAGGTCTGAGCTTCTTCCAGAATGGATTTCTGATGTCCAAGTTGAACTTATGATCAGATGATAACTCTTAAGACCTGAACTCTCTTTCCAGGATGAAGTGTCAGGGATTGTCTATGTAATAAGCCCCTATTTTCTTTAGAGGGGGAAAAAAAGGCCTTCATTAACTCAACCTGACAATGTTTCAGGCCTAGAGATCCCTGACTCAAGCTCATTTTGCAGTTAATAAGGACTTAAAAAGGTGGGCCCAAGTCCATTTACCCGAAACTCACCACCCTGGTCTGCAGCAGCTCAGCAGCAGGCAGGAGGGAAATAAATAGCTGGTCAATTACAATGAGGAACTCCAGGTTCCTCACTACCCTGACACCAAGCTGATTCAAGAAGAGTAGACCCAATATCCTGCCTCTTATTAAGATGGGAAAGAGGGTAGAAATTTTTAAAAAAGAGAGACATTTCTCACTGCATTGGAACATACAATCATCAAAAATCATTGGAGGTAAAATTCGTTTCAGCTCCGGGAAGGGACCCTACCGTGGAGCTCAGTTGTCTAGAAATAGCTTGTTAACCACTGTAACCTTGAGTTAATGGCAGTGGTATAAGGCAATCGTGAGCAGTAAATCACCTGAGGGGGGATTGGGTTTTCAAATAGACATACTGCCTCATAAAAATAAATAAATAAAGGTGTGACAGAGGGAAGGCAAAATGATAAATATACAATGTATGCAATTCTCAAGATGCACTTCTGCCCTCTCAGCAACTGCCACTACCCAATTCCATTACGATGAGAGTGCCAGGAATTTCTCCATCTATAATTTTCCACAGTTCAGTTACCCAGGCCTTCTAATTTCCTGCACGGTTTAATGCATACTCATTAAAATAACAATGAGCTTCTTGAAGGACGTCTGTAGCACTGCTTGCCATGGCTCAAAACCATTTCAATGAAATGGGGAAAAAATGAAAAGTTTTATCAATAGGAAAAATCTGCCCATCATCCAAAGAGCTTGGAGGCGCAGTGGTTGAAGTAGCTGCTAACAGAAAGATCAGTGGTTCGAACCCACCAGGCACTCTGCGGGAGAAAGATGTGGCAGTCTGCTTCCATACAAATTATAACCTTGGAAACACTAATGGGCAGTTCTCCTTTGTCTTATAGGGCCGCGATAGGTAGGAATCGACTTGATAGCAGTGAGTATGGCCCATCATCCCAAACCTATTCCTCCATCTCGCTGTGCTTGCCCAAGGATTGAGCTCCTGGATCAGGTATGGAAATGAATCCAGGGCTCTCTGTAAGATATTTATAGAATGTAGTTAATACTGAGTCAGTTCTCCCATAATCTTCCCAGACTGGAGAGTGATGGGATCACTGCAAATGGATGTTTGTGGGTGTTAAAAAGCAGAGGCAGTATTATGGAAAAAGGCCAGCTTCGTAAAGAAACCAGAAGAATGTCTCAATTGTTACAAAGTGATGTGGCCTGCCCTCTGCCCAGCCCCAACATGTGTGTGGTCATCACTGTCATCTATTTTAATCCATACCCAGCTGCAAATGGTGCATATGATTTATATGTCATTTGCAATCTAGAAAAATATGAATGCATACATCTACGTAAATAAGCACTAACTGAACACTTCACAGTTAACTCACCTGGCTAAGGAAAGAAAGCACCAGACAAGACATATTTAGATTAATTTTCTCAGAGTATCTAGAGCAGTGGTTCTCAACCAGGGGAAGAGAAGTGATCTGCCCTCCAGGGGACATCTGGCAATGTCTGGAGGCATTTTTGGTTGCCACAACTTGGGTGATGCTACTGGCATCTAGTGGGTAGAGGTCAGGGATGCTGCTAAGTATCCTACAATGCATGGGACAGCCACCCCACAACAAAGAATGACACAGCCTAAAATGTCAACAGTGCTGAGGTTGAGAATCTCTGATCTAGATGAAGATACAGCCAAGAAAGGAAGAAGGGCTTGGTTAACAGAATAACAAACAGACCCCCACTCCTACCCCCACCCCAATCCTGCAAACAGTCCAGCGGTAAGTGAAGTCAATGTTACAGAAGAGACTGGTTTCAAGGCACCCTTAGAAGTGGCAGGCGATATTCATGGGTCCTATTTTATTTTTTCATTGTGCTTTAAGTGAAAGTTTATAATTCAAGTTAGTCTCTCATACAAAAATTTATAGTTATGTGACCCTAGTTACTCTCCCTATACTGTGACAGCACACTCCTCCTTTCCACCCGATTTCCCACATCCATTGAATCAGCTCCTGACCCCCTCTGCCTTCTCATCTCGCCTCTGGACAGGAGCTGCCCATTTAGTCTCATGTATCTTCCTAAGCTAAGAAGCACACTCTTCACGAGTATCATTTTATGTCTATGGGTCCTATTTTAAACTACAAATTCATCAGCTCTATAGTAATGCAAAGCAATGTATACTAATTAGCAGTTCAAAGATTTGTTTTAAACATGTCACTCTGAAACACAGCTAAGATATTAAAGATGTAAACGCTGCTTTAAAAGGTCTGGCTCAGAAGCACGTATTTCAGAAACCAATATATAGCTCAGCCTGCATAACCAGATGACAACATTAACAAGGCAGTTGCTAAGAAGCTTTCATATTGTAAGTTTAATAATATAATCTATCTATTGTGCAATTTCTTTCGTCTAAACAATTGGTACAGATTTAATTTTAGTTATGGCTGTAATATTGGAACCACAATGCCAACCACGGTCTATTAACATTCTTCTAAGGAAAACCACACTAAAGCTTCCCAAAGACAGGGTCACTACCCTGGGAAAAATGCTTCAGTTAAATGCGTCCATAAACAGCTATCTATATATGAATATTTATGGGCGATATGAACAGAGGATCAAGTTTTTTAAGTAAAGAGATTTTAAGTTTGGAGCATACGACATAATCCTACTTTAGAAGATGTATCATATTACTTGTTGTCATGGATTGAATTATGTCCCCCGAAAAATGTGTGTATCGATTTGCTGGGCCACGATTCCCGGTATGGTGTGATTTTCCTATATGCTGTAAATCCTGCCTTTATGATGTTAATGAGGGAGGATGGGTGACAGTTGTGTTAGTGAGGCAGGACTCAATCTACAAGACTGGACTGTGTCCTGAGGCAATCTCTTGAGATATAAAAGACAGAAGTGAGCAGAGAGACAGGGGCACCTCATAACATCAAGAAACAGTGCCAGGAGCAGAGCGCATCCTTTGGACTCAGGGTCCCGGTGCGGAGAAGGTCCTAGTCCTGGGGAACACTGATGAGAAGGCCAACAGAGAAAGAAAGCCTTCCCCTGGAGCTAACACCCTGAATTTGGACTTTTAGCCTACTTGACTACGAAGAAACAAATTTCTGTTTGTTAAAGCCATCCACTTGTAGTATTTCTGTTACACCAGCACTAGATGACTAAGACACTTGTTATTTCTAAAAACAAAAACAAAACAAAACAAAGTTTAAAATGAGTAGACATTTGCGTGTTTTTGGGGGGAGTGAAGATTGGTAAGATTACTTTTCAAATGCTGAGCTCAATCAACGTTTAGCATATCTGTTCCCCCGTTTACTTCAGGTAAAACTTCAGCTTCCTTTAAGCATTAAGAACTGCAGCTTTAAAACGCTGGCCCAGCACCAAGGCTGCTTTAGTAGAGCGCCACACAAACACACACTTTTGTTTGCTCAGTCTACACCAACCAAAGTGGATTCCTCCGAAGTCATCTGTGAAAGATTTCTAACTTGTCACAAGAGAAAAATCCACTTTTCTAAATGGACTTTTTTTTTGGCCATATTAGAAATAAGCACACTACAGAAAGATGGAGAAAAATTTTGGGGAGGGGGGGTTTCCCTTGGTCAGGGGTGTGTGTGTGTGGCGGAGGGGCCAGGACACAGGATACAGAGCCCATATTTCATGTTGGGATACTTCAGATTAAGACAGAAACCTACACTGCAGACCCTCCCCTCTTCTCAGAAGCCGGGACTCCTAACAATCAAGCACTCAGGCACAAGTTTACACCGGCACAGTAAGGAAGGTGGAGGCTGGTCCTCCTGTTAACAAAAAGGCTTCGGGTGGCCACAGAAAAACGGCCTTGCCTTAGAAGGTGCATCTCAGCTTTGCCAGCACTTCTTGCTGTCTGCCAACTCCAGCCCGGTTCTGAGTTTGCACCTCTCTCTCATTTCCCAGCACTGGGACAGCTTTGCCACTGCAAATGACTTTGAGGACAAGCAGCTTCCCCTGAGCTGTTCAGAGGATGAGCAGCTAGATCTTCCCCCTTTCCCTCAACTAGGCAGGAGGCCAGAGGATTCTGGATTCCAGCTGACCTAGCCTGTGGCCTTCAACAGGCTACAGAATTCTTCATCTCTGAGGAAAAGACATGACGGCCTCAACTTCTCATGCCTTAGCAAGATGTTAGGAAGGAAAATGAAACTGGCCCCAAAGCTGTGAGCAGAGGTGCCTTAAGTCAATGCAAGGAGTCCCTGGGTGACACACATGATTAACGTGTTCGGCTGCTAACTGAAAGGTTGGAGTTTTGAATCCATGCAGAAGCGAAACAGAAGAAAGTCCTGGGGATCTACTTCCGAAAAATCACAGCCATTGAAAACCCTATGAAGCAGTTCTACTCTGACATTCGTGTGCTCTCCATGAGTTGGAAAAGACTCCACGGCAACTGGTTAATGGTTAAGTCAGTGCTAATGTCCACAGCCCACAGGCCCTGGTTTGCAGCCCCTGCTCTACCCGGACCCCTTTCCGCCCCAGCAAAACACTGTGGGGTCTCATGCTGAGTGGGCTCAGGCTGGAAGTCTGTGCTCAGCAACACTTACCTTTAGAATGGGCATAGCTGCTCGACAGCGGGCAGTCTTACTGTTTTTGAGGAAGTGAGACTCATCCTGAAAAGAAACAGCACGTAGGTGAACAAGGTCAAATCCTGAACGGACAGAGATAGAGCCCCACATTAGCCTTGGCCTGGCCTGGTGTTTCCACTGTGGCTGCCTCCCTCAGCACTTTCTATTCCTGGAGACAGTGCTGTGGCCTAGGCGAGGACCAGGGTTCTGGGGGCACCTCCTCGACTCCGCTCTGGACAAGTTGCTCTGAGGACAGCTGCCCACCTAAAAAGTGGGGCTAGTGAATACCCCACCCTATGAGATTGCAGTGATGAAGAAACCACTGAAAGGCAGGTTGCTGCTTTGTGAGACGCACCTCTCATCTGTATGGCACATAAAGTAATGTGTGCTGAGACCCACCGTGTGCCCTGTACTGGCGAGAGGCACTGGGGGCAGAGCCGACCGGGACAGCCCCTGCCCTTATGGCTCACAGTTCAATATGGACACCAGACACACCAACCACTGATCAGATCACATTACACGTGCCATCAATGAGATGTGAGGTGAACAAAGTATTGTGGGAGCTGAGAGAAGGGAAAACCATTCCTGTCCTCAGGGGCTCACCTGTTATGCTAAGAAAATGGAAGTAGATTATTTATAGCTCTGCATTCTGCGCATAGGCAAATATAAAATTTGTTATATTTTCCGGAGCCATGTGAGTAACTAAGACATTGTTCATATGTGGGGGGAGACTTTCTAGTTTGGCCCATGTTCAAATTACTTGCTATGTGACTTTGGGCAAATACTTGGTGCTACCTTCTCCATCTGTAAAATGGGTATAATAACAGCACCTAATGTATCGGGCTGATGGAAGTCTTAAATGTGCTCTTAGAACAGTCCTGCCCCTTAGTAAGCACTCAATGGTTTCAGCCACCCTTATGGCTGGCCTATATTGATCCTCAAGGATGAACTGCAAGAAACCCTCTGTCCCATTTCAACTACAATGAACCGAAACAGACCTCAAAAGCAAAATGGAAGGGAGCGTAAGATGAACCCCGAAATGTGAAGACAGCACAAGCCTGAGTGTAACATCCATACTCCCACCCGATGATGAGGCCCTTATGAGAGTCAGGAGCAAAAGGTGTTTATGGAGAGAAAAGAGCAGAAAGCACAGAGGATACATGAGGGAATGGACCTGTTCACAGAGTGGGCAGACATGTACACTATTATAACTAATCACAAGAAACAGCTCTGTCTGCAGCTTCCTCTAAGAAGTTTTGCACCTCAGAGTCATCACTTTACTCCTTCCTATGACATTTCTTTGAAGGCAAAAGAGGACAGGGCTCCTACTTAACTGAAGAACAAACTACCACTGGTGGGTAAAGGGCATGCCTAAAACCGCTGGCAAGTTACGTGCTGAACCAGACACAGAAAAACATGAATTCTGAAGCCAGATGCAGCCTAGCTGTAACCCATAGCTCCCCAGCTTCCTGGCATCATGTCTACGGGCAATTTATCTAACCTCTCTCATCCTCAGTTTCACTAACTGAAACGGGGACAATACTTGCCTGCAAAGGCTAACGGGAAGATTAGCAATGACATATGTAAAGTACCTAATAGAAGACAGACAATAAATGGAGGCATTATTCTTCCTGCCCACCCTACAACCATCTCCATCATGCTGGAATAATTCTTTTAATGTTTTCATTTTACATTCATGCTAAATTTTTTTTCCAAGTGATACCTGAATTTGCGCCGAACCAGAAAGTTATGTATTTTTACTTAAATAAAGCATGAGTTCTACATTTTTTTTTGCCAACCGTGCCCACCTCCTGCAAGGTATTTTTGTAAGCGTGCTATGCCAATGTAAAAAAAATTGGCATAATGTGCTTACAAACTATGAGGGTGGGGCTCAGCTGGCAAACAAACATAGAATGCATGCTACCTGCGTAAAAATATGGTACTCCCTCAAAGACTCATTTTTCATACAGCTTTGAAAAAATATAAAAATTTGCATTTGCTTCTGCTCAGAACACAGTATGGTTCTCATGTCTAACACATAACAATAGATTCCCTGAGGTCAGCAATTGTATCTTCTTCTATTCTCTAAGCTCCTATGATACTTTGCTCACAGCTCCATGAAAGCACTCGGAATGTATTCTAATGATCTATTTGCGTGTCCATCTTTCCTACTAGGCTGTGAGCCCATGGAGGACAGGGCTGCCCTTTCTCACCTCTGCACCCTCAGTGCGCAGCTCAGTGATGGGCGCGGGGCTGCTACTCAACATGTTAGATGAACAAGGGTGGATGGGCCTCTCTACAAGTTAGCCCAGTGTGGGAACACCATGGGCAGGCCTCTACTGCTCTCCTGTTGCCTTGGATGATGGAGAGGCTAGATAAGATACATAGACCAATTCTGAGCACTAAGATTTGGGGAGTCATTGTCAATAAAGAATTTTATTTTTAAATGTCCACATATCATGGGCATTAAGCAACACATGACTGTATTCAGTACTCACAGAAGTGGCTGGGTACCAAGTCTCTCTAGACTTTCCTTATGAAGTATGTGAGGAGATAAAAGAGAAAGCCAGCAACTGAAGGACGTGCTATCAAATCTGGGAATAGAACTTTCGTAAAGCCTTCTTCAAAATAAAAAGTGTAAATTTTTTTTTTGGGGGGGGGGCATAGGGGGAGTCTTCCTTTCGGCAGGAAGAAAGCTTACCAACTGAACTGTACACCTGAGGCATTCTGACAAGATGCTATCTAGGTGTAGTTCTCTGAGCCCACATAGTCTGGAGTCACATGCTGGCCTCCAGCCATGACCTCACGATGGGAAGAGATGGGCTAGAACCCCCCAGCACAGGCCTATTAAATTACATTTAAAACAAAACTCCCCAGGAGATTCCAATATGTAGTCAGGGCTGAAAACCACTATTTGAGAGGAATGAAATGTCAGTTCTCCACAAAATAAAGACAATGACTTCTATTCTCCTAGAAACTGAGCGAGGCTAAAAGAGATTACAGACATGAAAGTTCACTGAGCTTTTAAGAATGCTTCCACAGAGATAACGAACTTAAAGCCTGTGCCAAGTCACTTACAACGATGACAACTTTAAAAGGGGTTTTTAGCTGTTTTTCCAACTTGCTAAGAAGGTCAAAACTGACGATGTTGACCAAGCCAGCTCTCAGGTGGTCCTTCCCGGTCACCACGACATTGATGCAGTCGGGGGTCAAAGATGGCAGCCACAGGAGGAAGGCCTGGGAATGACAGGAAGGAGCAGAGCCAAAATGACGACCCAGCTCAGCAGCGGCCACAGTGACTCCCGCCAAATCATCGACAACACTCTCTCCACTTTAACATGTTCTGAAAAATGAACTCAGTGTCTACCCTCCACACCCTCTGGCATGTGCCATAATCCTTGTCCCCACTGATCCCAATCATCTCCATCTTCCTTGTCCCCATCCACTCTCCACTTCCCACTAACAGGACACTTCTTTCCTCGGTGAGTAAGCACTTGTCGGTAGGCACTTTGTGAAGTCTATGGATTTGATTTCTGTGCTCTCTAGCTAGATGGCAAGTATCTGCACAGAAACAATGTGACCCTTTTAAAGAACAATTTTATGTACCACCAGATCCTGGTACACTGCAGGCAAACTATAAATGTTTATTGATGACGATGAAAGTATTTGTCAGTATTTTGTATAAAGCCATCTGCTCTCTCCAGAAATCCTACCATCTCCAGCCAAAGCCAGTACCTGGAGCCAATGGAAGGCCATTGTCGCCTCTGTGTCAGGTGCTGCCCTGCTCACCTGGGCGAACGATTCTGGTATCAGAAGTGCTTTCTCTTCCTCTAGTCTCAGTCCTACCTACAACCATCTGACCGTCAGTCTCTTCCCCAGAATTTCTGGGGTGCACAGGGGATCTAACACACCTGGAACAAATACACATATTGAATTACCAGTCTCCAGAGGCACTGGGAGAATCCAGAACACAAGGACAGGAAAAGAATGAGGTACTGTTCAGATGCATATTTTTTACATTTTGCCTTCCTTCAGTTTGAGTGGCATGTCTGGGCATCAGGCTGACCACAGCAGGCAAGGCTCACTGAGGTTTTAGGAAGAAGCCAAGCTGGGAGGTTGCTGACATTATCAGCACAAAGCAAGGTCAAGTCATGCATGATGAACTAGGTCTTCCTTCCTCACCAGTGGTATGTCACTAAGCTTGGTCTCAAGAATTTTCATTCATTTCACAGACCACTCTGATCCCTGGATTTATGGTAGAAAAAGCTTAAGGCTGGGTGATAATCCACTGTTCGTGTCATGTTCTTTACTGATATAGGTATCTGGTAGTGCACATCCTACCCACACTGCCTCCTGTGGAGTGCAAAAACCCTTAGACAAGAAGTTGGGAGACGTGACCTCAAGTTCCCGCAGTGCTCCTCACTGGCAGTAAGCATGGCAAAACCTCTGGGAGATCCAGTTTTCTCATCTGTAAATGGGGCTAATACCTATCATTTCTAATGCACATGGCTGTTATAGGATTAATGGGGATAAAGGAGGTAAAAATATTTTGAAAATTAAGGCGTACTTAGGAATTCTCTGGTGGCACAGTGGTTAAGCATTTGGCTGCTAAGCAAAAGGTCGGCAGTTCGAATCCACCAGCTGCTCCCTGGAAACCCTATGGGGCAGTTCTACTCTGTCCTATAGGATCACTGTGAGTTGGAATAGACTCAACAGCAAAGGGTTTTTTTTAAGGAATTCTCTAGTTTCTGAGTCATACAAACGGTTAATGCACTTAGCTGCTAACCAAGGGGTTGGAGGTTGGAATCCAACCAGAGGCACCTCGAAAGAAAGGCCTGGTGATCTACTTTTGAAAAATCAGCCACTGAAAACCTTACGGAGCACAATTCTACTCTGACACAAATGGGGTTGCCATGAGTAGGAACTGACTTGAAATACACTGGTTATTTTTAGGAGGTCTTGTCAACAGATGGAAGTAGGTCCCTGAGCTTGACTGTGCTGTTGTTAGTTGCTGTCGAGTCGGTTCTGACTCACGATAACCCCATGTGCTGCAAAGCAGAACTGCTCCATAGGGTTTTCATGGCTGTGATCTTTTAGAGACAGATCACCAAGTCTCTCTCCTGAGACACCGCTGGGTGGGTCTGAACTGCCAACCTTTCGGCTAGTAGTTGAGCTTGATAACCCCTTGGCTTTTCTTCCCTAAAGGTATAACCTGACTCTAAGTCAGAAAACCATCTCCCTGGCCTTAGGAGGCCATCATATCTCTCCTCCTGCCTTTGGCTGAGATAGAGTCCTTAAAGATCCAAGGCCCCGTCCCCAAAGTGTTATTTTATTACTGTAACACTGAGGAAAACTTTTGTTAGCATCACAATACAAAGAGAACTGACCTGCTCCCAGGTGAAGCGCACAGATGACGGCACCACCACCAGGAGTGGCCACTCCTTCCGGTAAAAGGCCGCTATGCAGATGGCTTGGATGGTCTTCCCCAGGCCCATGTCATCAGCAAGCAGCAGGCGGCCTCTTTTTGCTATGGCAAAACTGAGAAGAGACGAGGTCAGGAGAGTACCCGGGACGCTTCCAGGTGCATCAGGTAATGTACTGTCCATAAGGTGGATAAACACTGCTCTCCATGGGCTCTCATACTACGCAGCACAGGCCACAAACAGGGACTTGCTCCCCCAAGAGGAAAGAGCAGGAACCAAGTCAGAATTAAGGGGGCAGAATTAAGGGGGGAAAAAAGTCAAAATAGGGAAAATGTGAAATGGTGGCCCCAAAAGGTAGGAAGAAGATCTAGAAGATAAGCAGGTTGTGGAAGCCAGGGGAGGAAGTTTCCAATAAAAGGAGTCAGTCCCAACCCAACGTGAGCAAGGCCCAAGGAATGTGAACAGAGGAGAGTGACAAACAGTCCATAAAACCAGTTGCCACAGAAGTGATTCCAACTCATGGCAACCCCATGTGTGTCAGAGGAGAACTGTGCTCCACAGGGTTTTCAATGGCTGATTTTTCAGAAGTTGGTTGCCAGGCCTTTCTTCTGAGGTACCTCAGGGTGGACTCAAAAGTTCCAACCTTTTAGTTAGCAGTTCAGTGCATTAACTGTTTGCACAACCCAGGAACTCCAATCACTCCATAGGAGGGACTAAAGCAGGGCCCACTTGTTCATTGAGAAACTGTCCTAGAAAGAAGGACAGAAGAAGCGTTGTTGTCAGAAGAGGCCGTGGGGTGAAAACAAGCTTTCTGGGGATCTGAGAGAGCTATTTATGCATAAAGGCCAAGGGAAGGAACTAGCAAAGATAGAAAATGCTGAAGAAGAGAAGGAGAGAAGGAAGAAAGGATGAGAGCAAGAGTGTCTGTGTACAAGGGAGCACAAACTCCTGCACAAATAAGGTTTTTCATTAAATAGCAGCCTCCAAGATCCTAAAGCCCTTAGGTGCAACAATCCTTGCTAATAGTCTGTGAATAAAGGCTTATTGTGCTATTCTGGAGCCAGACTGGCCCAGGTTGAAATCTCAATCCCACCACTTAGCAGCCCTATACCTTCAGGCAGGTTGTCTAACCTCGCTGTGCCTCAGCTCCTGCGGCTGTAAGATGGGCATATGAGCAGTACCTGCTCCACTGAGTTGCTGTGTGGATAATAAAGTCAATATATAAAGCACTTAAACCAGTGCCTGCACCATCATACGTGCTAGGTAAGTGTTTCCATTATAACTATTATTTCACAAAAAGGAGAAAAAGAATCAGGCACAAACAGTAAAAATGACTTGCTCAAGGTTGCAAGACAGATCTGTGAAAAGCTAAAAGGATGCCGAGTGCCAGATGTCTGGTCCCCTGCTCCAAACACCAGTCCTCTTTCATCTGAATTACTGAAAAATTGGCCATTTGCTCAGGAACCTGATAATAAGCCCTTTGACTAACTCATTTTCCTTCCTACTCACAGAGCGGAAACAGAATGTAATCTCTTCTAATCAGCTTTAGGTGATCATTTAATCATTTTTCTAACGGTCTGCAAGAATTCTAGGCTGCATGTGACCATTCTGAATCACCTGGGATTATTGTTTCTGCCCTTCTAAAGCCAGTATTTAACACCCAGGGCCAAAGACAGAACACTGAACAGCAGATCCCAGGGGGCCTGAGGCCAGCCCGCCTGAGGCTCAGCAGACAGGAGACAAGAGGGGTCATGTCATGACATCTTGGTTCTCCCTGCAGCCACAACAGCCCACCCAACTGGAAGGAAGGGTCTGCCCCTGCAGCCTCCTAGCCTTGGCCACCTCAGTGTGCCACTTCACCCACTCCTGAACAGGCCCAGCCTCCTCTCTGCACACTGACCTCTGTTAAATCTTCTGGATCATTCCTGGGACCAGCCAACAACACAGATGGGGGAGGGCAAGTGTGAAAAGGTTAGCTTTTCCCCTCCTTTCTGATTTACAAAATTGGTAGCCAGGGAGGCCCGGGAGCAGCTGGGGCAGCAGAAGCCATCAGTACCCTAATCCTTTGAGTGTCTTTTGTATCAGGCTCCTCAGCCTCACCACTCACACTTTCCACAGGGTCTGGTCCATCTGGTCATTCTTGAAGCACAACGGACCCACTGAACTTCACTTTCTTTCTGTTTTCCCTGCCTTCTGGTGATCCATTAAGGAACAAAGTGGCCGAAAACGAGAACAAAGAGGAAAAGAAGCCCTGGATGATAGAGAAACAGTAACATAACTGAATGTCATCCTCTACGGGGTAACTGGGTATAACAGGAAAACATCAGAAACACAGATTTAAGCTCCAATTCCATTTCTACAAGCTGAGTGACTTTAGGCAAATAACTGCCTCAATTTACTTATCTGTTGGATGGCATCATTTAGATATTTAAGGAAGCTGACATACATTTAAGGGATCTCAAGGGAGCTTTCACTGTAATTCTTACATAAAAAAAAAAACAAAAAAACACAGCATCATCCTGTGAGCAGCCATCTAAGATACTCCACTGGTCTCATCCCTTCGGGAGCAAGGGACAATGAAGAGAACAGGATACAAGGAAAAGATCAGTCCAAAGGACTAATGGACCACAGCTACCAAGGCCTCCACCAGACTGAGTCCAGTACAGCTAGATGGTGCCCGGCTACCACCGACTGCTCTGACCAGGATCACAACAGAGGGTTCTGGACAGAGCTGGAGAAGGATGCAAAACAAAATTCTAACTCACAAAAAAAAAAACCAGACTTACTGGCCTAAAGGAGACTGGAGAAATCCCGAGAGTACAGCCCCCAGACACCCTTTTAGCTCAGTGGTGAAGTCATTTCTAAGCTTCACCGTTCAGCCTGGGAGTGGACAGCCCCATAAAACCAAATGGGACTAATGAGGTACAGCAGTCCAGGGACAAGGGCCAGACGGCAGAAGGCAACAGGGAAGATGGTGATAGGGAATCCAAGGTTGAGTAAGGATAGTGTTGATGTGTTGTGAGGTTGTTAACCATTGTCATAGGGCAACATGTGTACTAACTGTTAAATGAAAAACTATTTTGTTCTGTAAGCCTTCATCTAAAGTGAGAATAGCAGCACAATTGGAAGAGTGTAGTCGATGTCACTGAACTGTGAGTGTAGAAATTTTTGAAATGGTGTATCTTTGGCTATGTATATTTTCACCAAAAAAAACAGGTCGAGAAGGGAGAGGGTTGACATGTTGTGGGGCTGTTAACCAATGTCATAAAACAATATGTGTACTACTGTTTCATGAGAAACTATTTGTTCTGTAAGCCTTCACCTGAAGTACAATTAAAAAAAAACACAAAAAAAAAACCCACGGCATCAGCAGCCCCCCTTCCTCAATACCAAACTCCCCTCTTTAGAGGATGAAAGTTGAAATCTAGATTTAATTAAAAGGTTTTGAAGAAAAGCTACAAGTGCCATTAGCAGCTTCAGAGCCCTCAAGAGGGACAAAGGTTAACTGCTGGCCATGTTGTAGTTCCCATGCTAACACAGGGATCATTCGCACACCTCGCCTCTCTGTCTCTCTCTCTCTCTTTCTCTGGTGATGAGTTAATCGGCAAGACTGGCACTCACCATGTGGACCCAGGATCGCTAATGGAACCAGGAAGAACTTGATGCCCAGGTGTAGGATGGGGACAGGAAAGAAACACCCTGAGCCTGGTTAAAATGAGGCCCAAAGGCGTCTCAACAGATGGGAGGACTGAAACAGCAAAGCAAGACAAAGTTTTACTACCAAGTGTATAAAATCTAAGAGAGATGGAAGATGGAAGGGAAAGGAAGAAAGGGGTGGTGGACAGAGCTGGAACCACAGGAATGTAGTAAGGTACAACTGTGCCCAAACTGCCTACAAAGAATAATATCCTGTCAAGGACAGTAGCCAAGCTTTAGCCAAAATACTCCAATCAGGCCACAAGCAGGGAGGCTTCTTAGTTTGTCAGTTCCAGGGCTTCAAACCAGTTCATTCTGATTCTCAGCAAGGGTTACAACTGGTTGGAACCCCTGGTCAGTTCAGTTGATCATTTAGGTTCCTTCCTTGCATGGGACTCTATCTCCAGCCACACTGCCTAATAACATAATTAATAATAATAAATAATAATCCTTATTATTAACAGTAATTCTCATTATTTCTGGGCAGACTTTCCAAGACGTCCTCTATTCATTCCTTGGCCTCCCATATTTTCACTAGAAGGCAAGTTTAAACCTGTCATTTTGCTTCTGCCAAGAAACTCTGGAAAAAAGGACAAGTCAGTATACGGATTTATGTTTTTCTATGCTAAGAGCATCCTTTCTTTTGGAGAACCACCCCTTCCCACTCTTAGTCCGAGGAATTTAGGTGGGTAGATTCCAACCTCTGGCTCCAGGGATGGGCCTATCACCAGGTCTAACCAACAAGACTCCAAGCCTCTCATCCACTGTGACTGGTTCTGGGGTCGGCACCAGACCCATTAGGAAACAGGTGCTTCTGCTGGGTTGCTAAGCTGATGGAACGTAAGCCGGAAGCCCCTCGCAGCCTTAGCTGCCACACTTGGGCAGAGCATAGCTGAGAACAAAGTGAACCAAGAAGAAAGCAGAGCCAAGAGCAGGACAGAGTCCTGATATATCTTTTGAGACCCTGCATTTTCTATTTGCTGATAAATCTCTTGGCTTAAACTAGTCTGAACTGGGGTTCTGCACACCTGCAACCCAGAGTCCTGATTCACCCACGGAATTTGAAATCAATGGTTACACTAAAGCTTTAGTAACAGCCCATCTGGCTGTTTCATGCCTAGATGCTTCCAGATATTCATGGAAGATGAGTGTTCATAAAAGAGGAAGCATCTGAAATCAGCTCATGGTGAGTGATCCGATTCGAGTGAGAAAGTGAGAGGAAGATCAAGGACTTACTTGACACCAGCTCTCTGAAAGGGCATCAGACTGGACACAAGCTTGGAATCCACTCCAGAAAGGTCTGCCTCCGGGGCATCTACTGTGAGATGAAGAGACGTCTTCTCGAGCTGAGAAGCAAAAGCCTGGATGATAGTCTTGGGCAGAGGATCCAGTTGAACTTGTGGGAGGCAGCGCACCCTTTCAACTAGAAAGAAGAATAGAGGCATATGATCTGGAGTGTTAATTCCCAAAAGATCTAGGGGAAGAAGGGGCTTCAATAGACTAAGTTCAATAACTGGAATTCTACTATATGTCATCTTCTCAAAAAGGTTAACTGAAGAGGAAATTGAGGCCGACAGTTGTATCCTAGGCAAAGGACACGAATCTAGATAATCAGTTTTCCCTCTGTTCCTTAATTTCTTCAAATAAGAGGGCAATAGTGCAAAATTGATCTGCTGTACTACACAAACGCTGGAAAGAACCATAAGATGTTTCATGACCGATTTTTTTAAACAAAGTAATTTTCAAAAAATTTACCTTAGTATTCTCATATTTTAAAAAATCAGCCCAAAAAGGCCTATAAAAAAGCAAATGGTAAGTTGAGTAAATCTTGTCTTTTTTCTATTCTCCTTGCTTTGTCTTGGTGGTTTCAAAGTTTGAGAAGGCGGAGAACTCTAAGTTTCCTACTGTACACAGGCAAGGAAACACCATGCCCTGGAAGACTGGAAGGATGTTAGGATAGTAGAAATGTAATGCTACTTAAAAAAAAAAAAGAAAAAAAGCCAGAGTAGATACAAAGGTCACAAACTGATAAAAATGCAAGTGGCCCTGCAAATTTTTGTTCCTTTTTATAAGGGCATAATTATCTCCCCTTAAAAGAGATGAGTTTTACAAGTTTTACAGTAGTGATCTGTGTGGCAAAGCAGCTGGAGAATCCGTTAACCTGGAGGTGACTTGATAGCTCCCTACTTACGCTCTAAAGCAGGGATTGGCAAACGAGGGCCTATGGATCAAATCTAGCCTGCTGCCAGTTTTTGTGAATAAAATTTTATTGGAATATAGCCATACCAATTCATTTATGTACAGTCTATGGCTGCTTTCACACCAAGACACAGCAGAGCAGAGTAGCTGCGACAGAGACCCCATGGCCTGCATGCCTGAAATATTTACTAACTGGCCCGTTACAAAAAGTTTGCCTACTCCTGCTAAGCTTAGAGTCTAAGCTATTACTAAGAGTCAACATTATCCTTTCAGTTAAATCTTACATTTGGGGGCCTTTACTTTCCTTCCCAGTGGGCTGGTCCGAGACTCTGTATAGTGGATGGGGAAATTTCTTCTTTTAATCAAGACCATTCACTCAGGTGGGAAAAATAAATTACTTGGGATCTACACAGAAATGAAAGCAAATTAATTTCACTGATTTTGGCTTTTAAAAAAATTTAGCTTCACTTGATTTAAAATTAAAAAAAGAGAAAAAAACTTTATTTATAGGGAGACAGAAAAAAAGAGAGAACCAATGATACAAATCTAACCAGGGAAAAAACACAAGTTAAAAATGAAAAAGTTAGAGAAAAGGTGACAAACCCAGAGATTCTTAGTGGTAGAAGTATCATTTAAACTAGTAATCACACTCTGCCGTACTGTTGATTGTAGTTTTCAAGATGTTCTTCCCTTTAACCATTCTCCTTTGAAAAATCTAATTAGAAGAGCAACCATTGTCTACAGATCTTCAACTGCTCTTTCTCCTTTATCTTTTCAGAGGCACCTTGGCAGAATCACAGTTATCTACCAAGGGTCTAACTATTCTCTGGGATACAATAAAGGGAATAAAAAAAAAAAGAAAGAAACTGAGTATATTTCATATCTACCCAATGTTGTCTGAAATTCTAAAGCTGTTGGTTCTCTCTTCCATATGGTCTTGTGTTTCTTTAGCAACCTCACAAGGTATTCCAAGTCTTTTGCCACAACCATCAAACGGAGGCCTGACCCATCTACTGCTACCTTAAATTGCTTTGTATTTTCAATATATTTAAACCCATTTCTGTCTTTCACTACATATAAGTACCAGTTATTTCTGGAAACAGATTCCGTGAAAACAATCACTGTGACAGGATATTAAGGTAAGGTTGATTGCTTTAACATAAAAGAGACTGTCCATCGTGGTGCAGAAATACATTTTACACCTCCAAATTAAATCTGAGCATGCTGATTTCTGCACACTTCAAGAGACTGAGCACTCCATGGGCTCTTAATTTTCATTTTAATCCTGGTGATCTTCAGAACTGAAATACCCGATGAAAGCTAAGAAAGGGATGATGATCTGGTTGGTGTGAAATGGGATGCTTTGTAAGCATTATATTCTTTCAGCCATTTGAGAGGAAAAAACCAGCCTCCATTCTCTTTCCTATCACTACTGTCTCCAAAATTCTAGGCTGCTAGTTCAGCCAACTGGGTGTGTTTCTGAGAAAGCCAAAGCTGCCTATCATCGACTGTCTCTAGTGTCCTTTCCCTGGTGCTGGGGAGATGACAGCAATGTGCTGCCTCGCGTCGTGAGTCATCTAGATGTTATTTCTGTAAAATAGCTCTCTGGAAGACCGGGACTGAGCCACACAGCAGAGATGTTTTCAAATAGCAGCTGACAAGACAAGATTGTTGAGGGGGATGCAGAACCCTTCTGGACTGTGACAGCCAGGGGTAAATAAAAGGCCTTATGCCAATTTCACTGTGGGCGAAAGGCCTCAAGTCACTTAGAAAAGAGAGGAGGAGAACCCATAGGTTTGCCTTATGTAAAGAAAAGAATTATCACCATGTCACCAATGAGCATGCAAAGACTTAGAAGATCTTACTGTCATTGCTTAATTAGTTTCAAATACACATTCGCTAGCTCAGAGTCAATAATCTAATTTCACACATGAGGAACCGAAACTAAGGGTGAGGAGAGACTGCAAATTCCCCCTGGTTTACAGTGTGTTAATGGTGGAATCAGAACTCAGTCTGCAAGTGTGCTGTATTCTGCGCTGTCTTCTTCCCTGGCTTTTTAGTTCACGTACCTGGCTTCTAAATGCCACCATGGGTCAGGTTACAAACTCAGATGACTATTTAATCTCATTTCTGTCACTGACTTGCGACCCTGAGCTGCTTAAGGAAAGCGAGTTCTTCCTTTCTCTGGGCCTAAGCTTTCAATCTATGAGATGGACAGAAGTCAGTCTTATTTTCCCCAGACACTGTAATGATGAGATGACAAGGGAAAAATCGATCTGAACTCTATACCTAGGATTCTTAACTTGAGATCCAAGCAATGATTAAAATCAGATGCGAAAATTTATGTGTGGCCACCAGGTACATTTGTCTGCATGAAGTCATTATTTTCACCAGATTTTCCCACAAAAGATTAGGAACCGTTAGTCTATAAACGCTATGCGAGTCACGAGTCATCATTTTCAGCATTACATTCATCTGCTAATGTTGTTAGTATACTGCTTTTTGTTGTTCCATAAAAGTCAACACCTTTACAGCTAGCATATTTATATATCTTCCTATGGTTGAGGGACAAAGAGACTAGATAGAGGGAAGAACTCACTCCTTTTTCCTATAAAAAATTCAGCTTTGGTCAAATAATTCCCTCTGAATCATGAGCTACAGCATGTCAGATCAATGCAGACTGTCCTTTCTGTTTCTGCCCATGTTTACCAGTCCAGTTGCCATCGAATTAACTCTGACTCATGGCAACCCCATGTGTGTCTGAGGTAGAACTGTGCTGCTCCGTAGGGTTTTCAATGGCTGATTATTGGGAAGTAAATTGCCAGGATTTTCTTCCAGGGTGCCTCTGTGTGGTCTCGAACCTCCAACCTTTTGGTTAGGAGACCAGTGTGCTAACTGTTTACACCATCCAGGGACTCCCTGCCAGCATTTACTGATACCAAATACCCTAAGTCTCACATCATATTACACTAGCCTGTCCTCACAGAATCAACAGCTCTTCCCTTCTATTTCACTCCTATGTCAGCAAGGCGGAGAGGGATGAAGAACCTCTTTTTTTTGCTGAAGGCACAAATGAAACCCAGAATGTTGAATTACCCAGTTACACAGTAAGTCACACTTGAGAAGGAGATAAAGGAAAGGAATCAGCTTTCCCCTCTTCCTCAAAGCCCTAGCCTGGTGGGCAAGATGGCCAATGACTCAAGAGCCCACTTCTCTTATGGCTTAACTGGTTCTAACAAATGACTCCTCCCACTGGCTCAGGAGCCCACAAGCCCTCTGGGGATCAAGCAGGAGGAACTTAGTTGCACCAGCTGAATCACTACAGCTTTCATTGCAAGAAAGGCTGAACTATGAGCACATCCCCTTTTCTCAGGTATCACTGCCCCATCCAGGTAGGGCACACATAAGAAAAATGCTAAGCCAAAACTGGCTTTCCTTCTTAAACTTAAGAAATTAGTGTACATATCCCTTCCCTGGGTCAGTCCCTTAAAGTGCTTCTTAAGATACTTAAGCCCCTAGCCTGACTTCTGCATCTGGCCCATTATGAAGTCCCAAACCAATAAGACTGGCCCTGAACCTTCCTTGATCATCTAGTTCTAGAAGGCAGCTGGGAGTTTCGATCTAAGCTAAGCAACTCCAGCTCACCTCTGAATCCCAAGTCCTCATACCCTTACTTCTCTGACAGGCAGGAAGTTTTCTCGGGCCTGGGGAATTTTACTCATACCACATCACCCCTCCGGAGGAGGAGGAGGCCCTGCATTGCCTGGGCTGTTGAGAAGTCACCCTCTCAGTGGAAGTGGGCAAGGCTGCTGGAAAACATTTTCAGCTTCAGTGGCCAAGGCTGCTGGAAAACATTTTCAGCTTCAGTGGCCAGGCACCCAAGCATCTCAAGTTACCACAGCAGAGGGCAGGCAGCCTTCTTTTAAAATACATTAAAGTTCAGGCAGATTATTAAAGCTCAACAATAGCATGTTCTAAAACAAGCAAGTGGGCATCTCACTTAGTTTATTGTGGTCTTCCAAGAGAAAGTTCCACTTCCTGGTCTTGACATCTGCAATGAGAAAAAATAAATAAGCAAGCATGACACCCTGCCCTCCTGCTCTGCCACCACTTACTCATTTATTCCCAGGTTTCATTAATCTCCGCTAAGCTCAGGCTGTACGGCCCTGTGCTTGGCACCGGGGATACAGACATGAAAGAGAGTACCTGCCCTTGAGGCTTTTGCAGCAGACAGGGAAGAAAGACAAGAAGAGAGACGGCTGTAAGACTGTAAGAACTGTGATGAAGGGTGCTACGGGGTAAGTGTCCTGGCAGCTCAGGAATACCCTGAATTTCCAAGATAGGGATAATAATCACAGCTTACACTTTAAGCCAGGTGCCAAAAGCTCTATATGCGTCATTTCATCTGCCCTGCACAACCCTGTAAGCGGGCACTGTGATTAGCTCCATTTTATATGGAGGGAAAAGAGCTGCATGTAGTCAGTGTGGCCAAACTACCTGGGTCCACATCCCAGCTCTGCCGCTTACTAGCTGTGTGACCTTGGACAAGTTACTTAACTTCTCTGTGCTTTAGGTTCCACATCTGAAAAATGAGGATACCATAGCCTCTACTTCACAGGGTCATTCTGAGCATTACATGACATTTAAATGTAAAATGCTTATAAAAGTGCACCTGGAAAACAATGAACACTCTAAAAAAATTACAAATTATTATTAGGCCATCTAGTGATTGGTCTAGTGTAGCATAAACTACACCCAATATTAACTGAGAAGGGGGGGTGAGCAAGTCACTACTCAAACACGTCTAATTATTTACATAGAAGGATTTCTCTACCAATCTACCTTCTTAAAAACATCAAGAAAGCTTGGATTCAATAAATGCTATCTGGGGAGCAGAAGTTAACTCTTCCCTGTATGGTCATTCGAAAGCAAGATGTTCAGGAAAAAAAGCATCCTGGACACGGTGAGTCAGTTAAAAAAAAAAGTGAGGTAGCCTAGGTGTAACCTGGCGGAGAGATCAAAAGCAGACAGAAACTCTGGGGGCAGAGCCCAGTGATGTGTGTTTTAACAAGCCTGTTCAAGTTTGAAAACCACTGTCTTGGGCTATAGAAAGGCATTTCTTTTCATGGCAACCATCTGTTTTCCCGCTCGGCTAAGGACAGATGGGTTTAAATGGATGAAGCAGGAGTTTAGGAAATTCTACCAAGAAAACATTGACCAGTTAGACTGGGGAAAATTGTGGCATGTTCTCTTGGCATCTTGTCTTTGAGAGGCCTTTAAGGACAAAACAGCCCCCATAATTTTCCCCAGCCTCCTTGTCCGTGTCTTCTTGGAAGAATCCCCTAAATTTCCTGCTTCAGCCATTTAGACCCATCTGTGTTTATTTTTATCTTAGCAGAGCAGGAAACCAGGTAGTGCAAATGGTTAATGTGCTCGGCTGCTAACCAAAATGCTGGCAGTCTGAGACCACCCAGAGGCACCTAGGAAGAAAGCCTTAGCGATTTACTTCCAAAAAATCAGTTCCTGAAAACCCTATGGAGCACAGTTCTACTCTGACACACATAGGGTCACCAAGAGTCAGACTCAACTGGATGGTAACTGGTCTCTTTGGGAGGCCTTTAAGGAGGAGATAGCCCCCACCAAGTGTTCACAATCTGGAACAATTTAGGCATCATCTATCCATGGTAAGAAGAGCAGACCAGGAAGGCTCTACCAAGAAAGTTATTTTTTGAATATTTTCAAAGAGAAAGAAGAATACCCTAAGTGCCCTCAGAGGCCAATTACTTGCCGTAACTCCTGGAATCCAACTGTTTAAACAGTGCCACCAAGTCTTCGGAATAGCCGATGTCTGCCTCGAAGCGGGCCCGGGAGATGAGCATGCACTGCCCTTTGACAAAGGCAAGGGACCGGGCTGGAGGGAGGCTGGCCTGTGCCCCGCTGTCGGTGCCACTGACCCTTTCCAAAGGCAGCAGGGTGACCTTGGGGAGGCGCTGGGCTGCTTTCACTGCCGAAGGAGAGAAAAAGGATAGAAGTGACAAGGTGGGCAACTTTCACACGGCCCTGGGAGGCTCAGGCAGGGAAGGGAGGAAGGGGAGAAAGCAGATTGGAGGGAGAAAGTGGGGCGGGGCAGGGTCAAGAGGAGTTACACTCAGCAGATAGTTGAGAGAAGCACTGTTAGACTAGGAAGGCTGTGAAAGCGTCCTTTAATTGGGAGCTTTGGGAATTTCAATATTTATTGAACCATATAACTCTACTGCTCCTAAAGTTTTCAAACTAAAAAAAGTAGAATTCAGAAATTAACCAGCGAAGAGGAAATCTTACCAGGATAGGGAAACTTATTAGATAATTTTCTGTTGTTGTGTTGGAGAAATTACTGAAGTCATACCACAAATCACCCCTGAACTTAATTCCCAAATCACTACTCTGCTGCCTGGAGAACAAGGGGATGAAAACTAGGACCATCAGGCTGCTAACGCTTAGCTTTGCACATTATTTTATCTATTACTGATGCATTTGATAGATTAGTAGATTTGGTTACATAAAGCTAAACTGTCAAAACTACAAGCTGAATTTAAAGGCAAAACTACTGAGTAAAGATATTTGCAAGAAATACAACTTAGACTTACATTATTATAAACAGAGAACATACTTGAAAAAAATACTAAGACCACAAAAGATAAGAGGATAGAGATGTAACCAATTCAAAAGAGGAGGAAAAATGGCTAATAGACATTTGCAGAAATGCTCAACCTCACAAATAATTAGAGAAATAAAAAGCCATTTTTCACTTATCAAACTTACAGGCTAAAAAATTCAACTATATATTTACATTGCTAGCTGGGAATAAAACCTTTTGGAAAACAATCTGACAATATGTAGGAAGAGTCCTAGAAAGTGACCATAATGATTTGACTTCTGGGAGGCTATCCCAACTAACAGCTGAAGAAGTACAGACAAAAATTTATGCACTAAGGCGTTCCTCAACAGATTTAAAACTGGGAAAATTAGAAGCAAATTAAACAGTAAGAAAATAAATTATATAATTTATGACACATTCATACAATAAAATATTACGTAGCCATTGATTTTTATAGTGTACATTTTTAGAAAAGCTGAAAGCATAAGAAGAGTATTAAGTTAAACAATATGAAATCACCATTTTTGGAGATCAGTAATGAACATTTACACTTTCATTATCCAGAATTAACCGTTAACCATTAAAATAGAAATGCTTATGCTGGAATACTAAGTGAGAAAGGCAAAATAAAAATTACTTACGTGTAGAGAATTTGAATAGTTTAATGCATAGAAAAAAGATAAGAAGCAAAACCAAAAAGTTAATCATGGTTAATTATGAGAGATACTTTTTCCTCTTTACATGCTGATGTACTTTCCATACGTTCTATCATGAGACTGTGGTAGGGCTAAAAAGCCAAAATCCAGAGATACACCTAAAACAAAATGACTGAAAGACTGACAGAGACAATGTTAATTATGTTGATAAAAAATATGATCTACTAAGGAGACACAACAACGATGGCCCTGTCTGAAAGTGTTAGAAATACAAGGACAAATCTGCAAATCCACAATCATTGCAAGAGATTACCTCTCAGAAGGCAACAGGTCAAGTGTGCAAAACATTGGTCAGGATATTAAAAAAAGACAAAAAACAAACCATTGCTATCGAGTTGATTCCAACTTATAGCAACCCTACAGGACAGAGGACAACTGCCCTATAGGGTTCCCAAGGCTGTAAATCTTTACGGAAGCACCGTCACATCTTTCTCCCTTGGAGCAGCTGGTGGATTCAAATCGCCAACCTTTCAGTTAGCAGCCGAGCACTTAACCACTGTGTCACCAGGGCTTCTGGGTTAAGGATAAAAAAGTCAAAACCTGTTGCCATGGAGTGGATTCCGACCCATAGTGATCCTACAGGACAGAGTAGAACTGCCCCCTAGGGCTTCCAAGGAGTGGCTGGTAGATTTGAACTGCTGACTTCTTGGTTAGCAGCTGAGCTCTTAACCACTGTGCCACCAGGGCCCGGAGTAAGGAAATAAAGGAGCCAAATTACCAATCCATAAAACTCATCAAAGAGCTATCTAGAGAATTTGTGCCAAATATCGTTTTCAAAAATGTGTAGAGCCATTACAGGAAATGACCAATCATAAAAGAAAACAAATAAATTTGCCAAAGCAGAAATCAAGTCACCATGTGTTGTGGTCAGAGGACAGGAGTAAAAAGAGAACAAAACGCAACTGTGACAGTGGAAGTGACTGGTTTAAATGAGCATCAGTGAGAACACCAGGTGTCAAAACCTGCCATCTTAACCCAGAGCTCGGCTCTCCTTCCCACACTAACAAATGGATAAAAAACTAGTAAAAATGAGACCCCAGAAAGGTCACCAGCAGCTACCTGCCAAAGAAATGGACACCAGCTCATGCCATACGTATCAAGTGGAGGCCAAGGACAGAACAGGAAATTCAACAGGGAGCTGCCCATCATCCCCCAGAAACTGTGCTGGGGACACACTCAAGTCCGGAGAATTCTAAGTCAGGCCCACAAATTTGCAAAGAAGTGACATGAGGAGGCATCCTATCTTTTCCTTCTTTGAAACTGTTAGTCCTCCCAGATCGGGGCTGGCACAGCTGTAGGTCACTGCTGGAATCAGTATAGTCTAGTGGCTGGGGACATGCACTGTGAATCAGACTGCCTGGACTTGAATCTCAGTTGCACGATTTATTGGCTGTGTGACCCTGTGTTAGTTTCTCATCCTTTCTGGGCCTTAGTTTCCCTGTCTGCAAAACGGCTGGTATAAGGAATAAAAGTTAGTATATACAAAGGGGCTCAGGACAGCCTGGCACACAGCAAGCAACATTAAGTGCTAACTTTTGTTAATATTACCAGTAACCTTCAATGAGAAGGAAAAAGAGCATAAGGATGGTGCCCTGAAAGCTTTCACCACCAATAACACCACTTATGCCACAAGCTACAGCATGTCTGCTACTCTGGAGAAACTTTGCAATACCAGTATCTCCCTCCATGAGGGACGACAACGTGCACACTTACTCAGGTCACTGTAGTCAGTCATGTTGAAGTTCCACGTCTTGGTGGCAGGATCTGAAGTAAAACACAAGCACTTGGTCTGCCCACAACAGGAACTCAAAAGCTTGTTCTCTACATTCATGCATATATGAATGAATGAATGAATGCCAAGTCCAAAATACCAAAACAACTGACCAACAAGCTCCTAATCATTTACAAAATTCCTGTATAGATACTAAACAAAAACTCCACTGCGGTCAGGTCGATTCCGACTCATAGCGACCTTATAGGATAGAGTAGAAACCCTTAGGGTTTCCAAGGCTGTAATCTTTCTTTATGGTAGCAGACTGCCACATCTTTCACCCGCCAGGGCAGCTGGTGAGTTTGAACCGCTGATCTTTCAGTTAGCAGCTAAGTGCTTAACTACAGTGCCACCAGGGGTCCTACCGTAAACATAGCTAAGAATAGTTCTTTTTTTTTTTTTTTTCAGTAAAAAGAATTCAATTCAGACCCCGGAAATTATGGCTTCACCTAAGAGGCTGAGGGATTTTGGCAGAGTTAGGGCTAAATCCAGTTCTCAGAATCCCAGTGCAGTCACGCAAAGTGGTCTGAGAAGGCACATGAACTCTGAGGTGTTGCAGAGCTAGCCTCATCCCAGCTCTACCCTTCCAAACTAATTAACCTGGGCATTACTTAACCTTGCTGAGCTAGTTCCATCAGCTTTAAAATGGAAATTACATCTCAAAAAAAAATCATTGTTAGGCTTAAGTGATACAATACATATAAAGCACCTGACATTAAATATTCATCCACTCTCCATGTGACCATGTGGCAGCCCCAAGCTTGGCAGCTGTTTGAAGGAGTGTTTATTATAAAGGGAAATACAAGCTAAAAATGAAAATTTTTAAACTGGATGGAATGTGCCAATGCCTCTCTTAAAATCTACGAGAAACTTAGATTAATAGAGACTCCAGAAATAGAAAAAAACACTTGAAAAACAAGACAAATGGCTTATTACCATAACTTCTGCTGGGCAGACTCTTAAACACAGCAAGAAGCTCTGCATTGTACCCAATCTTCACCTGGAAACGATCTCCATTCTGTATGCACATGCCCTTCTGGGAGCTTACTTCTTTGTGGAGTGAGAGTTCCAGATTTTGTTGGCGTTTTCCTTCTGTCCTGGGGGTCACATACCCTGAGCCATAATGGAGGTCAGAAATGGTCTGCCCTGAGGTGGACGGTCTCACTCTCTCAGCTAGTAATTCAGGATCCCCAGGGGGCTGTCCTGGGGAAGAAGCTGGTGTCTCCTGGGAACTCACTGTTACAGCCAAAAGCTCATGAGTTGTATTAGCAAAGGGTGTCAATTTAGTCTTGTGTGAAGCCTGAGCATGACCTCGACCTAATTTATAGCCCAAGTGCTGTTGGTTGGGGACCTCTGGAGAACTTTGTGCCAGGGGAGGGGAGACCCCAGTGACAGTCGTTTGACTTGGTGGCCTGTGGCTTGGGCAGGCTATGGGCTTCTCTTCTTGACTCTTCCATATCCCTTCTGCTGGCTCTGGTGTGCTGAGACGAAATTTGTGGGAATTATGAGATCTTTTGTCACCATTTGATGAATTAGTGGGATTCCATTGCTTGAAAATAACATCACGGGTAACTGGCTTAGAAGAATCCCTTGGAGGATTTTGGGAAGATCCCTGCTTGGACTGGGAAGGGTTGACGGTGATGGAGGAGCCTGAGCCTGTGCTCTGATGCTGTTGTGCTAATTTCTCAGCTCTACGAGCCAGAGCCTTCTGTCGATTTTCTTCTATCTTTTTCCTCTGCTCTTCGGTAAGGGGCAAGGACATTTTAATAGGGAAATACTCATGCAGGAATGTTGATGTTTAATTGGAAATCTAGAAAAAGCTGTGGAAGGAAAAATAAAGATTCAAATAAACATTAAACGTATTTATCTGCCATGCTCCCACCTTGATTTTAATCAGCTTTGGTCCCAGGAAATGCACAAGGAGCACAACCAAAGAACATGTTAAAGTTTCTTTTATAAATACACACACATATACAGGGATAGGTAGTATATGCTAAATTAATGATCTTTTAAAAAAAACAAAAAACAAGGTCAGATCAAATCTAATGCTGCAATATTCTTCTCCCTCCCATCCCCCAATGAACATGAGTTATCATCAGACCCCACCGAAACTGTGCAGTGCAACCCAAATCCATCCACTAATGAGAAAGGCAACATTTCAAACTGGAAAGGATAATGGACAGACTGAAACAGACCAAAATAACCACATACCATGGTGTGACTCTTGCTAAAATAGCCTGTTTCCAACCAGGAAGGAGGGAAAAAGCATTAGCCTCACATGGAATACACACCAAATTCACCCCTCCACATTCAAGCCTCTATTCAATCTGCATGTGGCCCAGTGCAAGCCACAGACTGCTGGTCTCAGTGCCTGCCTTCGAAAACGCACCACCAATGCACCACACCGCCTTGGAGCAACCCAGCAACTCTGGGAAAAATAAGAAAAAGTAATACATGCTCATTATACAAAATTCAGACACTCCATAAAGGTGTAAAGAGTAAAAGTAATCTGTAATATCACTACCCATCAACAACCACCATTAGTATAATTCTGACTTTTTTTCTATCTACAGCCATAGATATATGCTATAGATATATGTAAATGTATTTGTAAGATATATTTATTTATTATAAAATAAGATCATTCTATATATTGTACCCTCATTTTCTTCTTTTCAATTAATTGACCCCGGCCCTTTCCCATGAACTGAACCACTTTTACAATATTCTAGAACCAGGGGGCTGGACACTAAATTTCTTTGGCTTGGTTCAGACTAAATTGCCTCCACCCAATGCAATGGCATGCTATGATGACGTAAGGAGTATTCAATCGCACTGTCTAAGCCTCTGAGAGAAGGGGGTTCAAAGATTACCTTCCCTGTTGGGACTCCCTTTGGCCAGGGCCCCAGACATCATCTATTCCCAGAGACTTCCCACCTCCTCCAACCACGAGCAGTTAAGAGGGGTTAGGGAAAGCCTTTGTCCCTAGGGCTGAGTCGAATTCCTCAATCCCTGGGAAGCACACTCCTGCCTAACTTTCCAACCAGGGCAGTCTTGGTCCAAGGCCTGACGAGCTAACAGCCTTCACTAACCAAGGGGAGGTAGTCCCAGTGATCAGTCCCAACCATAAAGGACGCTCCTCGGCCTCCCTTTGCTGGGACTTCCGTTGCACCCCTTCGGGGGCGCGCCTCACCCCGGCCCCGCAGTGAGGGCACTCCCATCCCTATTATCTCCACTTGGATTCACCCTTCCCCTTGGCCGACTTCCTCCTCCAGACTAGCACTTGGTCTCGTCCGCCTCCACCACCTTCTTCCCGGTCTACCTTCTCACCCGGTGAGGCCTAGAACGCTATCCACATTCGTCGCCGAGCCTGAGCCCAAGCAAGCTCCAGAACTCTCCTGAGCCAGATCACTCTTCCGGTGGGCCGTTAAGACCAAGTATTCGAGCGCTGGTAGTTCTCCTGCCTTAATGGACGAACCCCCAAACTACAATTCCCAGGGGGCAACGCGGCCGCTGCTACGCTTCGGAAAGTGGGAGAGAGGAGCTGGGGGAAGAGCGGTTCCGCCATGTCTTCTGGGATTTGTAGTTTAGGCAAGGAACCTGGCGGGAACTAGGAGCGCCGCCACGTCGGGGGCGGGGCAGGAGTGGTACACTGTGGGAGTTGTAGTTCTCGGTCTCCCAAAGAATTTGCCAAGTGCCTGATCCTGAAAGCTTGGATCTGAAGTTGGTCTGTCAAAGCTGTCACCAGAAGGCACATCAGACAGCCAGACTGATTTGGTAGCTCTTAATAAAAAGTAAGTAAAAAAGAAGTACAGCCAGAATGCTCCTTAGAAATGAGGATGGTGTACTTTGGACATGTAATCTGGAGGGACCAGTCCCTGGAGAAGGACATCATGCTTGGTAAAGTAGAGGGTCAGCGAAAAAGAGGAAAACTCTCAAAGAGCTGGATTGATACAGTGGCTGCAACAGTGAGCTCAAGCATAACAATTATGAGGATGGCACAGGACTGGGCAGAGTTTCATTCTGTTGTACATAGGGTCCCGGTGAGTCGGAACCAACTCCACGGCAGCTAACGACAACAATGAAAATGTACCTCAAGTAGAATAGTTGCACAACTTGAAGAATGTAATCAATGTCACCAAATTGTACGTGAAATGGTTGAATTGGTGTATGTTTTGCTGTGTATAGTCTCACCATCAACAAAAAGTACCTCAAATAGAATTTCATAGCCCCCCAGAGCATCCATTCCTGATATTAATATCCTTGCAGTTCAAACCCACCTGCTTCTCCACCCCCTACTTCCCCCGGAACAAAGGAGAATTAGCATCGTCGTTATCATTCTCATCCTGGTGCTGAACATTTAATATGAGTTATCTCTTTAATCCTCACTACAACCCTATGAAACATACACACCCCCATTTTACAGATGAGGAAACTGAGACTTGGAGCTATCCCATAATAACTTTCTCAAGGTCTTCTTAGGCTAGTTGGTGATTCTGATCCAAAAGCCTGTGCTCTCGAGAGAAAATTAGTAAGCTGACACTCTCAGACTCAGTTTACCTCATTTCTGAGAACCAGCACACTTTCCTCTCCACAATCATCTCTCCCGATTACATTTTTTTTTTTACATTGAAAGACTATTTTTTAGAGAGTCTTAGTTATCTCGTGCTGCTATAACAGAAATACCACAAGTGGCTGACTTTAACAAACAGAGATTTATTCTCTCACAGTTTAGGATGCTAGAAGTCCAAATACAGAACACCAGCTCCAGGGGAAGCCTTTCTCTCTGTGTCGGTTCTGAGGGAAGGTCCTTGTCATCAGTCGTCCCCTGGTCTAGGAGTTTCTCAGCTCAGCAACCCTGGGTTCCAAGGGCATGCTCCACTCTTGGCTCTTCTTGCTTAGTAGTAATGAGGATCCTCCCTTCTCTGCTCGATTCTCTCTTTTATATCTTAAGAGCGATTGACTCAAGATACAAGTTAATCCTGTAGATTGTGTCCTGCCTTATTAACATAACTGCCTCTAACCTTGCCTCATTAACACCATAGAGGTTAGGATTTACAACACATAGGATAATTACATCAGATCACAAAATGGAGGACAACCACACAATACTGGGAAACATGGCCTAGCCAAGTTGACAAGCATTTTGGGGGGACACAATTCAATCCATAACAGAGCGTTTTAGGTTTGTAGAAAATAGAGCAGATAGTACAGAGTTCCCATATACCTTTTTTCTCCTTCACTCACAGCTTCCCTTATTATTAACATCTTGCATTTGTGTAGCGCATTTGTTATAATTGATGAACCAAAACTTATATATTATTAACTAAATTCCATAGTTTACATTATGGCTTACTGTTTGTGTTGTACCAGTTGCTACTAAATCGACTCTGATGCAAGGAGACCCCATGTGTGTCAGACTAGAAGTGTGTGCCATGAGGTTTTTAATGGATGATTTTTTCAGAAGTAGATCACCAGGCCTTTCTTCCTAGACACCTCTGGATGGACTTGAACCTCCAACTTTTCATATAGTGGAAAGTGCTGTTAACCATTTACAGCACTGCCCAGGGGCTCCTTGTGTTGTACAATTCTATGGATTTTGAAAATGTACAATGTCATGTATTCACCATCATAATATCATACAGAATAGTTTCACTGCCCTATTCATCCCTCCTTTCTTCCCCCTGAGCCCCTGGCAAACACTGATCTTTTTATTGTCTCTAGAGTTTTGCCATTTCCAGAATGTCATATATTTGGAATCATATACTATGTAGCTCTTTTAGACTGGTATCTCTAACTAAGCAATATGCATTTAAGGTTCCTCCACATCTTTTTGTGGCTTGATAGCTCATTTCTTTTTATTGCTGAATAATATTCCATTGTATGGATGCACTACAGTTTGTTTATAGGTTCACCTATTAAAGGACATCTTGATTTGTTTCCAGTTTTTGGTAATTATGAATAAAGCTGCTATAAACATTTGTGTGCAGGGTTTTGAGTGCACAGAAGTTTTCAACTCATTTGGGTAAATATCTAGGAATGCAATTGCTGGATTGCATGGTAAGCCTAAGTTTAGCTTTTGCATCCCCACTAGCAATGAATGAGAGTTCCTGTTGTTTCACATCCTCACCAGCATTTGATATTGTCAGTTTTTTGGATTTTAGCTATTCTATTAGGCGGAGTCCCTGGGTGGTGCAAATGGTTAACATGCTCAGCTGCTAGCCTAAAGGATGGAGGTTCTAGCCTACCCAGAGGTGCCTTAGAAGAAAGATTTGGTGGTCTACGTCCAAAATACCAGCCACTGAAAACGCTATAGAGCACTGTTCTGTTCTGACACACATGAGGTCTCCATGAGTTGAGGTCGACTTAACAGCAACAGGTTCCTCTGGGGGAAGCTGTCTTGTTCCAGGGCTCTCTGCAAGCAGAGCATGGGTGGCTTTTTAGCCACTAATTGCCTGACCCCAGCAAGGAAGTCCTAATGGAAGCTCAGAGAGATGACATGATTTGACAAAACCAGTTCCTTTGGTGGAAGGACATCTGTTCTTTATCTTTCTTTGGAGTAACTATCCCTCCCTCATTTCCATGAAGTCTTGGAGGAAGTGTTAATCAAGGTACCTCACTTTCTTTTGGCAAAGAGGTGGGTGCAGGGTACTAGAGGAGAAAATCAGACTCTTTCCATCTGGGAATTTAATCTTAAGGGATGTGATACAAAGAAAGAAAAACAATTGAACTGATTTAGCCTAGTGGTATCTTTCATGAGAGACTGTCCCTTAGTTGCTGCCACTAAGCGCTTCCCAGAGTTAGCTTCCCAGCATTGCTGTGACCCTGTTATTTCTGAGTCCTGAGTCTCCTATTCTGAGCTGGTCTTTAGCCTTCCAGTGAATTCCTTTTTTCGGGATAAGTTAACCAAAGCCATCTCTGTTGCTTGCATCCAAAGAACCCTGACTTCTAACTCTCTCTTTTTCCTTCCTTCCTTTTCTTCCTTCATGTGTCTCTCTTTCTGTCTTGGAATATTTAGTTGAGAGTTTACTGTAAAATACAGACATAAAACAACTGTTTACAACAGGATCTATACTATGTGAGTTTGTCATCTTCTACCTCCCAAGTCCCTTAGGATTCCACAGTATCATCTCTAGGTTGTCCTGGACTCTGGGTTACTCAAGGACAAGGGCTGTATCTAAGACATTCTTTACATTCTGTAACTCTTAATTCTTCCCCTCATATTCTCTGGGGCCCTCAGAGTGTAATAACAAACAAACTCGTTGCCATTGAGTCGATCGCTACTTATAGCGACCCTATCAGACAGAGTAGAACTGCCCTGTAGGGTTTCCTAGGCTGAAATCTTAATGGGAGCAGATCGACAGGTCTTTTCTCCCGCAGGGCGATTGGTGAGTTTGATGCGGTTAGCAGTCAAATACTTAACCACTGCACCACCAGGCCTCTTAGAGAGCGTTAATGTCCTCATTTAGAGATAAGGAAACTGAAGCCCAGAGAAGTTGGCTGTGCCCAATGTCTCAGACCACGCATAGGCCAGGCTGGAAAGTGGAACCTCGGTCCCCGTCTAGGGCTTTTTCTAGACATTAATTAAAACAATCAAATATTTATTGCATGCTTGCCTTGCCTGGCAGCGGATGTTTGGTCGCCTAAAACAGGTTAAAAGTCCCCTTCTCTGGAGCTTACAAGCTAGTGATGTAGGTGCTGGGCTTCCCTCTTCCCTCCATTCTGCTTCCCTAGAGAGGGTTGACAGCCTTTGCGGAGGGATTTTTTGACAGCTCCCTCAAGGGCATGTCACCACCCAGGTTAATTACACCTAGAGCGCTGCAATCAGATACCGGGCGCAGATGCAAGACTTTGGGTGGATACGGAGGCTGTTCCCGCCTGGGTGCTGCCAGTCGTCAAAGGCATTTGCATATCAAAGCACAGAGGAGCAATGCGAAGGTTTATAAGGCAAGAAATTCACCTTCCTTAGCGGTTGTTCCGTTCTGATGGACTTAATTGCTTTGAGTCTAACAGTTCAATTTCTTCCCCTCCTCTTCTCTGCTTTCTCCGATCCCTCCCTCCCCTCAAACCCCCGAAATGTAAGATAAAGACAGAACCTCCAGTATAATTTCTACACCATACGTTCCATGGTTTGGTGTGCGGATTCTCCAAGCATCTTGATTTCTCTGTTTGGTATTCGTGACTGTGATTGCTTTACAAGTCGGTCTCTCAAATCTGGCGCATTTTCTGCTCAGATGGCTTTGTATGTCCTTTGCCAAAACCATCCCCCTCAACGCCCTGCTTCAGTTTTCTCAGACCTGTAAAATTTTACTTTTTCTGTTCCTCCAATATTGTAAATTCCATTTTATTCATTCATTCATGTATTCATTTAACACAAATTTAAGGATCTACTGTTGGCCACACAATGTGTAAAGGCACTGGGGCAGCAACGGTGAATTAGAACTGAAAGACCGCATCTCATTTTTCG